GAGAAAAGCGTTAACTATCACCTTGGATCTTAATTGAAAAAAAGAGTTTGCGAAGCCGGCACACCCTGCATATGAATTCGTATACCTCGATATATATGAATCTGTCTCTGTTATATAAAGTTGTGTGTACCACACAATACATGAGTAAATCATAAATAAAAATTTAATCGTACACATATATATATATAAAAATATATATATATATATATATATATGTATATATATCTTGATACAGGTGCACATGAGGCACGCGTGCTTATATACATATCGTGTGTCGAATTGAATTCGCTGGTAGCGAAACTACTATGACGTTTTTAGGGAGCGGTGTCGAGAAAGAATCAACGTGATACCTGGTAATCGCGTATAAAACACTCCCATTATCATCGCCGTTTGCACGGTGCGATGCTCGTTCTCAGTCAGGGACACAGTATACAAAACTACAAATACTAAAAAAAGCTGAAGAGATTACGATAATAACAGAGAGAGAGAAACAAAAAATAAAGAGAGCGAGACGGATTAGTGTCAACTTGTTGGGCAACACCACCTAGAAATAAAATACACATTACAGAGATCGACGTCAACGTCGGAATAATCATTCGCCAGTCTACGAAACGTACGTATGCACATACTTACTCGTACACTAAAAGAAATGTGAGCAAACATGTGTTATATCTTTAGACAATTATCAGATCGTCTATGGTACATGAGAATGCCTAAGTGACAACGCTACCTATATAACTCGTTAATCAGCACGTCGATAACTAGATGCCGGGATGAGAGAAGTGATCTAGACTTATGAGTTCAATTCGATGAGAGTTACGTATATACGGCAGCCGCGCTCGATCGACTCGCTGCGCGGGCTCGATTTGGCGTGTTCGAAGATATCGCGCGTGGAGATCATCTCCCTTCTGCGGATGATCCTTCGAAATTACTTCGTTATCCCTCCGCCGAGATTCCAATCGGCGGCAAGCGACTTCTAGTCGATTTCTCAACGAACATGACGGAATTCAGGGAGCTATCTCGTCTCGGGATCAACGCTTCCCGCGGTGGGAAGGAAATTTTCCACTTTAAACGAACTCGTACCCACATGTGCCAAGACTTTTTGCGAGCTTTTACTGATTAAAGGACACGCGAGGAATGCCACACCGGGACAGAAAGAAGAGATGGTTGGATTGGCCAAGTATCCGGTGAAATATGAACGAAACAGAATTCCGCGGCTGAAGTTATCAGAATTTTGTTCACAAAATTTCGGTTAATTAAATAAGACTGCTGGTTAACTAGAAATCATGTTAACTCGAACAGAATTCTGGTAACAATTCTAAAACTTCAACATTCTGGTTCGTTCACATTTCAACAGACATTTAGTTAAGGCCTGGTTGCATCAACCGAGTGATATGCTAACTAATAGTTAAATCATATGTCTACCTTTATCTTTCCCGCAAAATAAAGCAAGACAGACATATGATTTAACTATTAATTAGCATACCATTCGGTTGATACACCGGACCTTATTTAACCAAGTTTTCTTTCCGTGCAAAGCAATAGGACTATTGACTGCTGCGAAATCGTCCATCGAAAAGCAAATATTAAGTGTACGAACAAATAATCCAAAATTTTCGACTAAATTCAAGGTTTGTTTAAGAGAAAAAATGAAACAAATTTTTCAAATCAAGTATTCGCTTTCTATAATTTTAAGTCATCTTTCAAGCAGCTTGTAAATTCCATTTTCGGAAAAATACTGTGTCATTGAACATGGATGAAGTTGTCAAGTCATTTTTGGATCTCATCCACCGATTGGAAGTGCTTGTTGAGCAAGTCGTGTTGCATCGACTAGAATAAATGGTAGTCGGAAGGAACTACGTCTGGTAAATATGCCGGATACTGCAAGACGTCTCAGCCAAGATTCATTATGATGTCTTTTGTTTTAGAAACAATGTGTGGTCTGGCGTTGTTATGCAGTAATTTCGTAGGACATTCCGCTTTGCCAATATACGGGAGTTTTCGTTCCAATTTCTGACTCAGACGAATTAATTGGTGTCAGTAGCAATACGCAGTAACTGTTTTAACAGTTCAATAACCGGTTCCAACAGCTCATAATAAATCACGCCTTTGGTATCTCACCAAATACAGAGCAGAATCTCTTCTTTTCGAAATATTCGGGCTATGCCGAATGCTGATCGTTCGCCAGAATTTATAATTTTCTGCGCTTTAAATTATCATAGAGTACCCATTTTTCATCGTCCATAACGATTTTCCATATGACTTCTTACGCTGCTTACTGAAGAGAGAAAGACACACTGCCACTCGCTAATTTTTGTTGGCATCAGTGAGTTTATACGGAATCCACTTTCCTTCTTTTTGGATCTTTCCCATCTCGTGTAGGTGTTTGGAAGTGGTTTGCTGCGTTACTCCCAACTGCTACGCAAGCTCTTTTGCGTGCCGAATTCTCAGCGAGCAATTACTCTGAATCACCGTCGCACTTTTGAGAGCCTGCATTAATAAATCGATTGGCATGCTTTTACAGCAATATTTCCTTGTCGGATTTCATTCGGATATGTACCTTATCTATTACCATTTGTAACGCTGAATATTAAACTAAGTACTTTTTAAAGTTTTGTTTTGTTCTTGCCAAACTGTCATTTTGAATAGCTATACGTTGAATAGCTATACGTCAACACTACTTAATCGCAAAAAAGCGGAAAAAGTGATTGATTTTAAAATTACCTTTTAACAGTTTAAAAAAAATTTTTGGATTATTTATTTGTACACTTATAATATGAGGTAATACCCCAACAAGTATCACGCAGAAATCGAACGGAACTGTATGCCGTCGAGTAGCGTGGAATTTAAATCACATCATCATCATTCATATGAGATGTCGGCGAAATCGACTTGCGAGCTGCCGATCGAGCGGCTCACGGGTTCATCTAAGACGAAAGTGAATTTAAAAGTCATACGGTCGCAAAACGTTCTCTCTACTCTGTTCGCCTATATGCGAGCTACGTCGAATCGATGCTGTAATATCGATTTAATAATACCTTTGCTCGAATTAAGGCTCCGGCACAAACTGCAAGCGTGGACACATCGTTAAGTGGGTTAGTGGCAAGCAGACAAGTCCGTTGGAGAAGTGTTCGCGATATAAGCGAGATCTCTCTCTCTCTCTCTCTCTCTCTTTCTCTCTTTCTCTCACTGTAATTTCAGATACGCGCCGAAGAATTCGCATCACGTCCCAACCCCCCGGCGGCTCCGAACCCGAATGCGTAGCGAGATCGGCACTCGATCGACCAACCTGCCAACGTCGACGCGAGCGCACGCAAAAGGCCAGCAGCGAAAACGCGTAGGAAACGGCGCGACAAGTAGCATGGGAGTCCAATTGGCCAGAGAGACTACGACAGAGATCACCGACACGAGCTTCTCTTCGAGACGGACGTAAGGAGAATTTCACGGTACATGAGAGTGGAAACGTCGCGAATCGTCCGACCGCGCTAGCTGAAGGGAAGAAATTACCCTGTCGAGAGCTTGGAAGCGAAGCTTAATGACCAGCCAGTCGCATCGACATCGTCGGTTGAGGCTCGATTTTATTTTCCAAGGTAAAGGATTCTAGAATCTTACTTCTGAGGATGACGTACCAATAATATCGATAGTTTGGATCACTCAGAAATATCATTTCAAGGATTAGCGTTAACGCTGATGCAACTCCGCCGGTTTTAATAGCTGCGACTTTATTACGCATCAGCGAGGAGCTCAGAATCGCAGTTCGCTGATTGCCGGGCAAAGTCAACCGAGACTGTCGATGCAACTCGCACAACGAGCAACGATGAAGAGACTGCATTGTGTTGTGCAAATACCAAAACACGTATAAATTCATTTTGGTAGCTTCCCAACGCTTCTCTCTTTGTCTCTGCGTCGTAGGGTAGAACGGCAGCCACGAGAACGAGCCAGAAAGCAGCACGAAAACACGAGCACATCCATCGAAAGCGGTGACCCTATTAAAGATCAGCGTCTAAATAATCGCCGACATTCACGAGAGAGTCTCGCGGTTTCTGGTTCCCCAGGACAGTGTCCTCGACCGTCGCGCGCGAGGCACTCGCGCGTTTGTTTTTCTCGTATAAATATTTAGACAGTGGTCTCTAATAAGTTAATCCGATCAATGTCGAGTGCCACGTGACGCGTCCTTGTTGCGACAGCTCGAATTCTTGGCTCGAGTTCAACAGTCGTTTCCCGATAACAAATCGCGATTCTACCGGGTGTCTCGCGATTAACAGGGATCAGTAGTGGGTCTCTTCGCGAAACAGTCATATTCAGAGAACTGTAAGACTAATAAGAGTCGCACGCTGGATGTTAATGCGAGTGTTTATTGGAATGGAAGGGTAATGATTCATTGTTGCAAAAGCGGAATAAATTTTGGCGCATATGTCTCACACTGTCAAATATTATTATACTCTCATTCTATTAATTATTCGCACTAATCATCCAGCACACGACTTTTATTATAGTTCTCTTAATACGGTTGTACGCCACAAGAGTCTTGAATATATAATGTAATCCAACGTGAAATAGTGAATTAAACCTCAAATTAAATTGCTTCTTTGAATTTTCATCAAGATAAAATTTACGACGGTAAGGATTTTTCGAGAGACAAAATATTGCATTGGATATATTCGGCAAACCGTATACCGAAGACGATAGAGAAAATTGAAATAGAAACGATACGAGAATCTATACAATCCTCCACTGCCGCCTCCACCACCACCACCACCACCACCACCAGCATCACCACCACCACTACCACCATCACCACCGCCACCACCATCACCACCACCACCACTATCCCCTTTCAGTAACCCCACTACCGCTTCCTATATTTTCGGGAGCACACGGATACGCGCGTGCGTAAGTGACGATGCGCGACGTTTCGCGACATTTCGCGCGGTCTCTGTGTGTATCGTGTCCCGTTCCCGCGAGAGTCGGTCCCCCTTTATCGCCACGGCACGACTTACCCTTGCACCGATGGACGTGGTGGGTTTCTCCAGGAGGTCCCAGAGCCATTTCTGGTACTGGGCGCATTGTCCCTCGCCGAACTCCTCCTCCTCGCGCTGTCTCAGCGACTCCGCTTCCTTGCGCATCTCCTCGTGCACGTTCTCCTTGCGCTGGTGGTACTTATGCTGGCAGCAGCTCTCGAGGTAGAGCTCGTCGACACCCCAATACTCGAGGTCGTCGCTGAACGCCAACACGCACATCTCGTCCACCAGGTGGAGCTTGCCGGTGCGATAGAAGTTGAGGATCGAGCTGAAGGATTTGGGGTGACGATCGAAGAAGTACTCGTTGTCGATCAGAGAATAGTCGTCGCAGAGTTCGGTGATCGCCTCGTGGGTGTTGCAGTCCCGCAGCCGGCCTAGGCGCGTGTGCGGCAGACGCTCGAGGGTGCGCCAGAGCACCTCGTGCTTGACGCCGCCAACGTTGATCGAGACGCGCCGGTTCAGCGCCTTCGACCGCATGATCATGAACGGCTCGGGCGGTAGGGACGTCATCGACCTCGAGAAGGCACGCTGCTGCTGCATCTGCAGCGGCAGGGGCGGCGGCGGCGGCGGTGGCGGCGGCGGCGGCGGCGGCGGCGGTAGAGACGGCAGGTTTACCGGCACCACGGTACCGACCGGTCCTACAGACGACGAGAGCACGTAACGGACCTCCTTGTTCGCGCTTCCTCCTCCTGCACCACTTCCACCCCCTCCCGCTCCTCCAGCACCACCTCCTCCTCCTCCTCCACCACCCATACCCGCAATCCCCGCGGCTCCTCCGGTACCGACTCCTCCGAGTCCCATCCCTCCGCCCAACCCACCCCCCGAGCTACCCGTCGACGCACCGAATCCAAAACCTCCTCCGCCACCGGTGCAGCCGGTCGCGGTAGCACCGACTGCACCGAGCTGCTGCAACGTCGTCGTGCCGCCACCCTCGAACACGTAGCCCTGGTCGGTGCCGATGTAGGGCACCATGCACGACGGCGACGACGATGAGAGCGCCGGGCCAGCGACCACGGCGCTACCATTACGTTCCCCGTCCGCCAGTGTGTGATCTTGGAGCCGTTTCTCGTTCAGCATCGGACGCGCCGAGTTACGGCGGCTTCAAGTCGTCGGTAAACAGCGCGAGTCGTTGTTCCTCGACGATGATCCAACGACGATGATTGTTCGCCTGTCCGATGTCTGACGCGGCGCCTTGTTCGTTTTCTTCGTTTTTCTCTCCTTTTCCTCCGCACCCTTCTCCTCCTCCTCCTCTTCTTCTTCTACTTCTTCTACTTCTTCTTTGTCGTCGTCGTCTTCTTCTTCTTCTTCTTCTTCTTCTTCTTCTTCTTCTTCTTCTTCGTCGTCGTCCTCCTCCTCCTCATCCACGGTATTCTTCTTCAGCTTCATCCGTAAATCCGTCTGCACCCCTCTGTCGACTCGGTCGACCAACTGCGTCGCGTCATAATCTGGAAGACACACGGGTGCACGTGACGAAACCAATTTATGTACGTTATAATATTCGGACCTTAGATTCTCGCATAAAAAACCGCGAGGACTGTCCCTGATATCGTGAGGAAATCTCTGTTGTTCTTTGTCGCAATTGAATCGCTCGTTAGCGGGAATTGTTACTTATTGCTACATGTTGCTATAATGGACAATTGTCCCATATTGCTATATAAATGCGCTCTGGTGCGTGTAAGATAAAAGTATATCAATGCTGGAACGCTAATAACACCAATAACACTAGTATCCAATTCTGAATATTCTTGTTTTGCTTTTTAAATACCAAATTAAAGTTGCGAGAATCGGGACACCCTGTATCACTCTATATACTGAAAATTCAAATGACCACATTTAAAGACCAAAACAATAAAAATGTCCAGAGTTAGGTTAACTAGTCAGTAGGCCATTAATGTTCAAGCGTTGGTTCCTTCCTTCCTTTTTTCGATTGGCATACAGCTCCGCTGGTATTTTGGTGCTTTTACCTTAATATCCGAATGCTACATTTTTCATATGTCTCTTTCACCCGGAAGGCCAGGCGCGCAGCGTCCGACACGATTTTCCAATATAACTTTCAGGGAAGTAATTTTTTATTCAATCGCGCTCGAGCGCGATGCGGTGTGTTCGATGAACGATGATGCCGAGAATAGAAACGATCGTGACGATAATACCAAGCCCACCGTCGCAATTACCCTCCTCGTATGTCAGCTCGTCCGTCGTAAGAACGCGAGATGGAAACGCTTTGACATTAACGCTTTCTCTCTCTCTCTCTCTCTCTCTCTCTCTCTCTCTCTCTCTCTCTCTCTCTCTCGCTCTCTTGCCGCGATAATTATATCGCCTAAACATAGGCATTTCGAGCGCGGGAAATTAACCGGGCGAAATTGTTCCCTTCGAATTGCCGCGCGATATCGTAAGTGGATAACGATCGCGCCGCAATAAATTAACTGAATGTAATTATTCCCGACGACGGTTCACGCGAGCCCCCTCGTGAAACGCGAGGCTCTCCTAGGTCAAGAAACACGTGTACGTCAGACGTGTATTATCGGACCTGTTGTTTCCTCGGGTGGCAAGGGAGAAGGCGTTCGTGCTGCCTCGCTGCCGCGGCGAGTCGGTCTTCGAGAACAATTGTTTTCCAGACGAACTTCCGCGCATCAAATTTTTTATGAGATGAAAACACCAATTCCCGGACACGTATTTAAGGCTCCCGGCTCCTCGCATTGTCTATCTCTTTTTGATGACGTCAGAAGCGAGAAAATGCACGCTGAAAATTCTTGCAAAATAATAACGTTAAAATAAAAATGTATATCCATAAAGTGACACTTGCAACCGATTAAACAAATTTGTAAGATATTCTGTACACTCCCCTTTTGTTCTAACGATCAATAATTTGTCGTAAATTGACGTGACATACAATTCATCTTCTTAACCTATTTCTTCGCCTTTTTCTACTCAGGTTAATTTACAATAAATTATTGATTGTTAGAGCAAAAGGAGAGTGCACGGAATACCTGAGAAATTTGTTTGATCGATTGCAAGTGTTACCTTATGGATATATATTTTTATTTCAACGTATTTCGCAAGAATTTTTAGCATGCATTTTCTCGCTTCTAACGTCATTAAGAGAGATTAAAAGAGATAGACAATGCGAGGGACTAGGAACTTTAATCCTGGATGTTCTTATTGTTTTGGGCTCTTTAAATACAAATATATAAATTCTTAAGAATATATAAGGTATCTGACAATTCATGCTACACCCATTGTTATTTTTCACTGCATCATTAGTGGCACTTCAATGTACAAGCGATATATACATTTGTCGTGTTTTAGTTTTATTCGTTATAACTATCATGACTACACAGCCACTTAACGTATCTGAGAATTGCGTCTTCCCTCAAAACATATTCCGTTATTGCGTTGTATGTTTTTTCTCTTTCTCTTTCTTTCGCTCACTCTTTGCCTCTTTTCGTAACGCGTTAAAGAGACACTGCGTAAACAGTTGGAAGACTCTCTGATAAACAGCGTTCTTCGCGAGACGCACGGTTTATTAATAACTACACGTAACAACGTTACGTTCGGCTTGAAAAAGACGCGCGGAAATAACGGCGAATCGCCTAAAAATACATTCGATTAACGATCGGCAACGACGTGCCGCCTATTTTTACCACTGACCAAATAGCAGTTCGTATATAGACGCGATTAACGGTTAATGGCTAATTTGCAGTGAAAATGAGCGAGAACGTAGGCAGACGCTCCAGAAATACGTCATAGAGAGATTACGAGAGAAATGAGATTCAGACATTGTCGAATTGCGAAAGTAAAATCAATACCTTGGCCACGCGTATGCGTGACAAAATATATTACTTGAAAAAAAAAATTTAGACGATTTTGTCTCGAGAGATTAGAGTAAAAAAGTGGTCGCAGGTGGTAATAGCGGACGAGTAGATGAGCGTAGGCGGCACCGGGAGCGACCCGCCGAGATCGCGATAAAATCACTGAGACGATTGACACAGAAGGGAACGCTTCGACCTTCGTTCAATATCTCCTCAATCTACGCGAACGCTGATTGTATATAAACTATCTCATCGCGCAAAACGTCGAATGTTTAGAATGTCTCTCTAAAGTTTCGCAAGGTGGTTGACAATGTTAACTATCATCAACGTTGCGCACTGAGGGAAAAATTATCTTAAAATCAACAAATATTTCTTTGATGGATGCCATTAACATATTTACTAAATTTTACTCTTTTTATTTAAATCAAATATTATTTGGCTGACTTAAGTAAACAATATTTGGTTCAAATATAAAAAAATTAGATTTAAATAAACATGTTAATGGCACCCATCAAAGAAATATTTGTTGATTTTAAGGTAATATTTCCCTCAGCGCATTAATCACTGAAAATGTTCTTTCACTAAAGTAATCGGCAAATTAATAATCAGGACCAATCAACCAAGTCATGTATAAAATCGCAAATAATCTCATCGATTGGTGGAATTAATTAGACGTGTCTCTAAGTGTAACTTATGAGCCTTCTGAAGTCGGCTCTTAAGCAGAATTAGAAGCGCTTTTGACGATAAAAGAACGTTCAGAATAATCGCCTTAGAATGTAGCTCACGAGAGTGTAGAGGACGAGATTTTGCGTATATCTTGTGTATTGATCGGCTCAACTTTCCACGCTGTCTTGTTCATTCATTGGCCGCGGCTCCGTAATGCTCGCTCAGCCGTAATCCCGTTTAACCCTTGGGATGGCACGCGCGTGTGTGCGCGACGGGTCACGCATTACGAGAATCCCGAATCCGACAAAGGTCACCGAGACCGAAAATAGACTCGCTCGTCTAATTACGCTCGAGTGCCGGTAAATTTAGCACTAAACAGATAGCCCGGCTCTATGAAAGGGGATCGCTCAGATGATATTACGATTATAGCGATCGCGTTGCAGTCATCCAATCGCGCCTCGACAAGCGACGATAACCTCCCTCTCTCGTTTGCATACTTTGATTTCTGCATTTAAGGCCCGAAACTTGAAATTCATCTCATGTGAGACACTCAGATTTTTCTTTAGAGTTAGAAAAACTCTTCAGCAGTAAAACGTAAGCAAATTGACTAATCACAGTCACTGATTCTTCATCAGTCAGACCGTAAGAAGAATCACCAACTATGATTGGTCAATTTATTTACTGTTTACGTCTTACTGCTTAAGTTTTCTTGTGTCTTTAAGCCCTTACATCCAAGTTTTTCAGTTGAATTATGACATATGCGATACTTATATTTATAATCACGATTCAACTACAAAACTCACGCCAACTTTGAATTCAAATGTATCTTACTTGAGAGATAAGTTTCAAGTAATAACTATTAATACAAGCCTAAGATTTGGAATTTTTCGTATCCTCCGTGGAATCATTTCGCAATTTTACCACATTGAATGCACAATCTTTTTTTCTTTCTTTTTTTTCCTTATGAAACGCGCACAGAATACATCATCGCCGGAGGTGAAGAAGAAATACTCCGACGTATCGATCATCCCGTCTTACGATAACAACGACTCCTTATGCCTTCAGCACACAGCCGACGTATAAATACCCACTTGACTTAAGATTTTAACGTCGCAATTCCGAGCTCCCCTGTGAGTAATCCATTATCAAGCATTTCATGTCCGGAATGTTGCGTGCATACTCTCCTTAACATAGGAATCTTAACTTTTAAAGCCCGACATTCTCGTAATGCTACTGTGACATTTAACTCCAAAATAGTGGTTCTTAGTCGGGGAGCCGTGCCCCAAGAGTGCTGGACATTGCACTGATTATTTCCCTTTCCAACTTCGTCACTGCATAATAGTCCTTGATCCTTTCTATTCGTTAAACGAAACATTAGAATGTCGGAGCAAACAGCACCTTCAATTTGTGTTCTGACACGAAGATCTTCTTACTGTTTGAATTACATAAAACACATAACGAGTTGATGAGTTTACATAACGATCTTATTCGTTGGGCTCGGTATTGCTGCATGAAATATTAAAGCGCCGCTAGGCAGATGCGCGTAACGGCAACGTGCCGGCACGACACGTTACTTTCCTCTTTAGTTCACAATGAGGAAAAATGACATCGCGCAAAAATTGAGCTCCCCCACACGAGATAAATAAATGCGAAAGAAGGCCGCAATTTACGACGGGGGGATCGTATACAAGTCCTAGTTTCTGCGCGTTACCTCAGGGACAAATAACTCCCGGAGAAAATAATCGATATAACTCACCACATGGCCCTCGCGCGCGAACTCGTAACTTTATTAAAAGCGTTATACCCGTCGTATCTGTAACGCTCCTAGCACACAGCGCTCGTTACTCTTCGCGAGATCCAACCGGCCTATAAACTCTATCGAATCAACATCACGGAATCAATTAGAGCCGGTCGAATGCATCGACGATCGCCAATCGCCTCTCGTCCAATTTTGCAACCTGCGCTGCAGAGAAGAGAATAATACCGAGTGACGCAGTCGTAAACTAATTTCAATGATAGAAGTGAAACAATGAGAAGTAAATTGCGTCGAATATGGAGCGACTTCAAGAGCTGAAGTATTGTTACGTGAATAATTATATAAGTATTAAAAAAGTATTAAAAAAATATATATATCTCAAGAGATAAATCAAAGTTGTTAAAAATATACGTATATATACAATGAAATGTGTCTAACTTCGAGAGTATTGTCTAGAATATTTTCTTTTCGACTATTACATTAGAGAAATAAGGTCTCTAACAGCCATTCGCGGATGCGAAAATAAATTTATATACTATGGGAGGACAATAGTATATTCGACAGTATTTGATGTGATCAATTTCTCCCGGCCTATTCAGCATCCCCGCAGCCTTCCACATCGAACCAACTCTTTATTCCAATTATTATTAATACTCTTTAATATTCGTCTTTCACTCCGTTTAATTGTACATTTTTTTATTCATCTTATGTGTCGTAAAATATTTTCCTTTTAGTAGAATATTTTTCTCTTAGAATCCTCTGGAAGTGGGGATGGCCCGGAAGCAATGGAGGATTCCGCGAAAGATAAGCTTGTATTTCTTTTAGGTGTGTAGTGCTCGCGATTGAATAAGTACGCAGGTACTCGGTTCGACGAATGACTTTCCTTCCTCAAAGGTGCGCGGAAGGTTCTCCGCGAATAGAAATGTTAATAATAGAGTTTCTCGATCTTATCATGGTGTATACGTGAAGTCCTAGCAGTAAAGAGAGCTGCGCGTCCAAGACCCGATCGACCCCACCGGGATAGGACGGAATAGGGTCGCCCGTGGCAAACGGACGCACCTACGAAACGCGTACGCGTATGAAACGTGTGAGAGATCGCGACGGTGTTCCCGAGGGGTGTTTCCCGGGGAGAGCGAGTTTTCCGCCAGGGAGCGACGACGAAACGACGAATCGATCTTTTTCTCCCGCAATGACCCACCTAGCCAGCGCGTCGGGGGCATGTCTGGTCGGCGGAGAGGAGAGAAAAGCAGAGGAAGAAAAGACGCGCACCTACCTCTGTCTCTACACGCCTCTACTCCGCTTCTCTCTCTCTCTCTCTCTCTCTCCTCGTGGGAACGTACCTCCCCGTGTGTACTCTCTCTGCGAAACATCCGATCGATCCGCCCGTCGAAAACATCTGCACGAAGATTAACCGCCGTGATCTTTGACCTTTTCGGTCCAGCGTGCGCGGCATTTGAACCCGCGAGCGGACAGGTGCGCGCGCCAGCCCTTTAGATTCTACGAAGACTTCCATCACGAGTCCTTCACGATCGCGCACGATTATTTGTCGAACACGATACTCGAACGACACTCGAACGATACTCGAGAGCCACCTGTCCCGCGAACGGAGTCCTTCTCAGTTCGCGAAAATCGTCGACTCGTAATAACGAGCACGATTTATACGCGAACTCACGATACCATCTTCTCCCGATCGCTCGGGCACGCGACCGTGGAATTTTAATGCGCGACCGCTTCCTGATATTCAAGTCGGTCGAACGAGGAGGACCGGATGCGACGAGCAGTTCTTCCTCTTCGGTGTAACGGAAGAGATCTCGGATAAGAGGCGCGATCCGTACTATTCGCGGCGCCTCGTGCGGGTCACACATACACGTAGGACGTGATCGAAAGTCACACGCGAAATTCATACTGTGGCTAGAGGAAAATGGTTGGACCGACCGAATTTCTACTCAAGCATGAACGAACCGAGAAAACCCTGGTTGAAGCTTGCCAGAATTCTGTTTAAGTGTGTTAACCAAAAATCTTATTAACTTGAAGAGAATTTTGATGATGTCGACCGGAACGTCTAGTTCGCTCAAACTTCACCAGATATTTCGTTAATCCAATTAAACTTTGTTTCTCCGTGTGACATCGATGGATCGCGCGATCGGAGTCCTCCCAACGACTGAAAGGTCGCGCGGCTCGACATTTATCCGTGGCATCATTTCAGAAGATCCTCGTCTACTACCACCGACCCTCCTCGCGTATCGCGTTCTCTCTCGCTCGCTCGCTTTATTCGCCGTTGCCCCGGTTATCGATTGCGTTATTTCGCGACGTTATTTGTCCGTTTCCCCCGTCCGGTGAGCGCGCGGCGGAGCATATTCGGCGAATAATACATTTCGAACGAGGACATCGCGAGACTGCCTCAGGGAATGTGTTTTCGCGAAACTCTGATATTCACGGAAAAGTTTGTTTGAAAAATATCCCGGAGAATACTCGTCGCGAAAAAGAATGATGTTAGAATACCCCGAAAGAAGAGGGATCTTCTTCTCGAGGAATGAGAATGCATAAACCGTGAATATCGCCGCGACATTTCGGAACACTCGGAGAATGTTCCGCAAATATCTCGGGAAGGTTGCCTCATCATCACTGCGTTCAGTTGAAAATTCCGATGGAACACAAAGAGCTCCAACAAACCGCGCGATTTAGCGTGCAAGTGCAACGATCGGTTGCAGCGCAGCGTCGTTTGCAACTTCGCCTCTTGGCGTCGCGTCAGCGCGACGTCTCGGGCGCGTCGTGATTCACGAGGGAGATGATTTATTAGCAAATTCTCATCGCGAAGTAAATAAATTAGTTGACGAGAGAACGAAAAGAGACTCATCCGCGTGAGAAGCGAACGGATACATTCAGAGCAGAGGAAGCTGCTCTTTGCAACTATAGTAAAATTCACAAATCTAACGGTATACGAGAGACTGGAGCTAGTTGATTACCGGGGTAAATTGGCAAAATCAATCATTTCTACTGTTCTTTAATAGACTTCGAGATCAAACAAGCAAGAATTTCGAAGCCATCTTCGGCATGTTTAAAAGTCTTGCTTGCTTAATTCTGTAACTTGTTAGGAAATGGCAGAAATAATCGGCTTTGCCAACTTATCTCGATAGCCAACTAGCCTCGCCTGTGCTCTTAATCTTGACTTAATCTGACAGCATGTATCAATCAAACTCCCAAATTTTATAACAGTTACAAAGCAGTTTTCTCAGCTGAAAGTAGCCTTATGCTTTAGAAGCGTTGCGAGCGGGCTCACGTTGCTCTCGACATCAGGGTGCTTTACGAGCGGCAGTAGAACGACCAACGGCCCGCGGCCGTCAGACAGTAGTAAAAGGCAACAGTAGGTGGGACGCAGTCTACGCGAATGTACAGCAGCTCGGTGAAGCTTACTTACTTCGACCCGAAGAAACTCGAACTCCGGGATTACAACAGCGAGACACGAAGAAGACTGTGACGTAACTTTGCCTCCATAATTAAAACGACGTCAGAGATTTATGACAAATTCGCTGTACAATTATTTCGTTTCCGGAAAGACGTTCGCTTCCGTCTCCCGGAATTCTCGAGTCTCACTATGTACTCATAAATTCACATACATCCTATTTGATGCAATCGCTACGATTAGAAGCGATGCATAATATTTTCGGAACAATCGATTTCAGAGACTTATCCGCTACTCGGATACTGATTCGGATAAGGAATATCGCCTTACGAATCTTTGTTTTGGAATAAGAACTATTATCAAACTATTTTCCGTAAGCTGTGTCTGATCCTCGCGACCTCCGCGATATCGGGATTGATCCGCTACAAACAAGAGAGAGTATTGTTGTTACGAGTAAATTCCTTCTGCCTAGCTTCGCTTTACGCAAACGAGGGGAAGCGGGTTAAGCTTCCATGAATGAAACTTCTCTCTTATCGGAGGGACCAAGCAGAGCGACGCGAGAGTCTCAGAAAGCTCCCAGGATGTCTTTGCGCGTTCGAGAGCGATTTGACAGATCCAAGAGCGAGACCAGCTGAGAGTAGACGTGTGCAACGAACGGGGACGGTCCCTGTGGAGCTATCTGGGTCTCGCGTCTCGCGGTCCGGTACCGTGTGATCCGGGAGAGCGCTCTCGACGACGCGCCGCGTGCCGGTGGCCGTGCGCGCCTCTCGCGCGTCGTCAGCTATTATACGGAAATAGACGGACAAGAGGCGCGCGCGAAGCGGGCCAACCAGCAGCAGCAGCAACAGCGGAGCGCACCAGCAGTGGTACACGCGAATCTAAGCGACTCACCTCTCTCTCTCTCTTCAGCTTCAGGCACCGCTGCTCCTCGACCGTGAAAACGCCGCGTCGTCACGCGCCGCGCTGGATCGTCGCATCTCGTCGCGTAGTCCTTGGCGAGGATATAAGGAACGTCCGCGAAGACGAGGGTGACGAGCAGTGACGAGCGGTGACTAACGATGACGATGGCGATGGTGATGACGACGGCGACGACGACGGCGACGACGACGACGACGGTGACGGCGACGGCGACGGCGACGGCGACGGCGACGACGACGGCAACGACGGCGACGACGGCGACGACGGCGACGACGACCGCACTGGCACTACCACCACTTGTTTCACACCGGGCGCTGCGATCGACGCCCGCTCGCGGCTATCGATTAAACGTTACTTAAAATGTGGCACAGACGCGCATTCGGGCAAGAGAACGAAGATAGTGCGCGACACTCTCTCTCTCTCTCGCTTCGCGGAGATGTTTCGTACCGGGAAACCGGACTTCCGCGCGGCACGTCGAGTGAATGGAAAAAAGTTGACGGCCTAATCGTGACACACGACGCGCGACGGGGATGATCGTGCCAATTTCTCAAACGATCGCACCGATTACCGGTCGATTGATTGGAAAGTAAAAAAAAAAAAGAAAAAATGAGAGGGAGAGAAAGTCGTGCGGCCGAGGAACTCGGAATCGCTCGAGTATCGCTACTACTACTACTACTACTACCGGCTGCCGTCCGTCGCTTCTGGTAGTGGTGGGTAGAGGTGATGGTACAGCCTCTGCCACTGTAACTGCTGTTGGCGCCGACAGAGGCACTACTTGGACGCGAGCCAGCGGTGCGCCTGCCTCGGCGATAATCCCGAGCCACCCTGTGCGCCTCGCGCGTGTCCCCCTGCACCCTGTTCTAGTGACGAAGCGGCGCTTCCGGAGCGGGGATGCGTGGAAGCAGGCACGTAGGAAGAATGATCAGCGCAGCGTGCGCGACGCGTTAGACGCGGCATCGCCGCGACCGGAGAGAGATTTTTAGATATTAATCAGAGAGTTCTGCAACATATACGTGAGAAAATCGATATATCATACTACGATCATACTATTATCGTTGCATATGTAAATCACTCTCTTCAACTTATTTCTTGCGCAACAGCCTCTGCGAAACGCGTTCGACTCTTGTTATAATTTGACACGAACTAATCTCGCAACGGCTGTAATCAAAATGAAAGAAAACTCAAGTTAAATTGTAAGATAGGACTCGGCAATTTAATATCAGATATGTAGGCTATTATTATATTGAATATATCAATAATATAATTTAAATGTGATGTACCATAGTTAATAGCAATTTCGAGAAAAATTCGCCAGCATTCTACGTGGGGCGCCGATCCTCGAACGGTCGAGCGACGTTTCCATCCCTGCTTCTCTCCTACTCAAACCCTGTTTTCGGCACGCGCGACCTCGTAGCGCGATATCGTCGGAATTCGCGTTTCCGACGCGAAGCCGAAGGCAACGCGCTCGTCCTCGCCTCGCCGAGGACCGAATCGATAAAGCATTCGTATGTACGCCGAAGGAACCGTTCTGTGTGTGGATGATAGTCGGGTCGATATCGTATCCGAACGAGGTCAATATCGAACCACCTGGAGGAGCCCGGCACACAGGGCCGAGGGTGAAATCAGTGTAACTTGCTATCGGATCGTCAGGAAATCTATCCACTCCTCATCGTAGAAATCAGGTTACTATAGTAGGCTGGTCCATATTTCCGGATATAACACGGCCGCTTGTTGCCTATACGACCGCATCGCGAGGGTATTTTTAGGGGCGGCATGGAGGTCGTCAAGAATAATTGTACAATCGATCTTTAACGGTTACCGCATTTTTGCACATTTGTATAATCACTCGCAGGATCGGTAACGCGTGGACTTGGATAGCGATATATAAGGAGCCTAAAATTAAACCAAAATCCATGAAAACTTTTGTGAAACACAAATGAATTAAAATAAATTAACTTTCCCTTCTCTCCCACCCGTAAAAAACTAAAATACTATCCCCCGAATTAGAAATTGATATTTCTCTCCTAACTTTAAGGAAAGTTATACTTCTTTTATTGTTTCACATTTTAATTATAAGTAAATAATCTGAGATACATATATACGAGATAATTCTTACGTAACTATATTATTATATAATGATAAAATTATTTGGAACAAGTTTCTGTTTCAAATATCTGGTATGCTTTACCATCCCTGAAAGAGTTAATTATCAGGGATCTGTGTTAATTTTATTTTATGAAAAATATAAAAATATTTTAAGAAATGTAAGGATATAGATGGTTCACCAGAGGACTTACTTAAAAATATCTTTATTTTCTCCAAGAAACACGCACGTCATCCGTTCTGTATCTTTGAACGCAAGTGGTTTGGTCCCACGGTGTACAACCATCGTATCTGTACTGGAGTAAGCCGGCGACCGCGATCATAACGCCATTGTCTATGCAGAAGCGATGATCTGACGCGTAAAGAGTCGCATACCTTTCTCTACACATGACGCCCATCATTTCCTGCAGTCTCTCATTGCAACCCACGCCACCCACGATCAATACTTCGCTCGATTTTACATGTGCCATCGCACGCTCTGCAATACCATACAGAGTGAGCAAACAAGAAAAGTGCAAGACAAAGCTGTTGACTTGCAGTTACCTGTGATCTCAATAAGCATAGCGAACACTGTCTCTTGCAGGGAAAAACACAAGTCTTCAGGAGTAAATTCTTCTGTATCCAACCATACAGCAAGATGTTCCTCTATGTAACTTAAAATACCAGAAAACGATACATCCATCCCTTTCACCACATATGGAAGCGGTGCTAGTTTCTTGCCCCTTAACAACCAAAAATTCTATTTGAGAATTAAGTTAGAAATTTCTGACAGAATGATGAACATAAAAGATCATTTACTTTTTTGCCAATTGTTCTATATTGTATCCAGGACTGGGCTCATTCGAGAGTTTCAGTAGTCTCGCAAATCTATCCAGGCAATTGCCTACCGCTATGTCAATTGTTTCACCAACAATGCGATACCTCTGTTGAAAATACACGATGATTTGAGTGTTTCCACCGGAAACATATAAAACAGTAGGATTCTCACTACCAGTGATCAAACGTCCCATCTCAATGTGGCCAATGCAATGATTGACCGCAACTATAGGTTTATTGTACAATTGGGCGACAGTTCTAGCCACTAAAGCTGCAACTGTGAGCGGTGCTGCCATTCCTGGTCCCTTCGTGTAGCAGATCACATCTACATCCTTCAAGGTGATTTCTGCATCATCCAAAGCTTTCTGCAAAACATCCAGCACATAGTCCCTGTGATGCTGTGCAGTTTCCCGAGGCAAGAAACCTAACAGCAATCAAGATGTAAATCATCTAATTTACTAAATATACATCTATCTTAGAATTATTTCAGCTTTAACAAGCCTCTGTCATGGAAATTTGAAATTGTTATCGAACTTGAGTCAATTGGAGGTTACCTTCTCCCGGTGGAGTGACATAAGTGTGTCGCACGTTCGACAACACTTCCTTATTTCGAATTACTCCTACGCCCAGTTTGTTCGCGCTACCCTCGAATCCAACGACGACCACCATTTCTAGCTTTTCCACAGCTTTTTCGTCGTTTCAAACACAGGCGTGGAGCGATCCAAATAGAACGTCACACTGTCATTCGAGATTCGCGCAGGCGTACGACTCGCCCGTCGAACCGGGAACAGTAGCGCCACCTGTTCGGTGTTTCCATCCGGTCGAGCCGTCAGGAAAGAATGCCTCTTGTTAACGGGGCCTTCTAGGCACGTACCCGATGTGACGCGGAAGTGAATCGCCGACGAACGTGCAAGAAAATGCAAGTTTTCGGGCCGCCGCGTTAAGAAAAGTGAGTGTCCGTCCGTCCTGCTGGATATATGCAGGCGCCGTCGAGAGTATTGTCCGGGATCGAGTCGAGTCGCGCGGAGCTTGGCTACATGGCCGATTGATTTTCAGAGCTGCTGCGAACGTTGTCGCGCGCGAACGGACCACGAAACGGTTGGTCGTCGGTCGCGTGTTTCTCGTCGGACGCGCGAGTCGCGACGAACGCGGTCGTGTTGCGAGAAAAAGCCGACGAATGCACACCAGAATTCCGGTGTTCGGCGTTAATTCGGAGTTGTGTGACGACGCATTAAGTAAGAGGTCGATGCTAGAGCGAGTGAGATAGAGAAAGAGAGAGAGAGAGAGAGAGAGAGAGAGGCAGCTGGTGCGCGACGTGTGTACGCAGCAAGTGGAAAGAAAGAAAGAGAGGACGTGAGAAAGAGAACGCGAGGGAAAGAGAGAGAGAAAGAGAGAGTGAGGGAGAATGGGAGCGAAAAGGAGGCGCCGCCGACCTTCGCTTTTACGAAACGAAGGAGCGAAGGAGGCGGACGAGCGCGCGCGCTTATACCGGTTCCACAGACTCTCTCTCTTCGAGCGATTCTCTCGTGGCACACGATCGGCGACTCGATGTCGCCGATCACACGGCGGTGCTCGCCGCGGTGTTGTCCGGCTAACGCCCTCCTGAGCACCGGTTCGCGTCATCGTCGCGCGTCACCGGTGCGTGACGTTTGCGTCTCTCGAAGTCCGTTCCCGTGGGCTTTGACAAGTCGTGCCGCGAGTGGTCGCGAGTTGTCGTGCGGGCGAAACGCGTCGCGACGGCAATGCCTGGCCGCCGCGTAGGTGATGCCAAACGCGAGAAGTGATACCGAATCGGTCGACCGATCGATCGATCGATCGACCGACCGATCGATCGACACTAAAATTGGGCGCGTTGCATTCGGCCGGCGGGCGCGCGAGTGCCGCGCCGTTTAAAGACCGGGCCGTACATTGCAAGCGCGTCGTCCGGCGCGCCTCCCCGGTCACGCGACGCGCTCTCCGGCTCGTGCTCGAACATCTCGCCGATGTTCCCGCCGGGAACTCTCTCGCGTATCTCCTCCACCCGGAGATAAACTCCGCGGCCGGTTTTGTTCGCGCGCGCGGAACATCCGCGACGCTCTCATGGAATCGCGGTACCACACAGTTTCTGGAACGTGCGGTGAGTGGCCGATATGGTAAGGCATCGCGTGCCGGCGTTGTCCGCCTCGCGGCGAAGACGAATTTACGTTGCACATGTGGGACTGCCGCGAAACAAATCGGATTCACGTGAGAAAAAGAAAGTACCTCTTAAGAAAAAAAAAAAAAAAAACAAACAAACAAACGAAAAACAAAACACGCACTAAAGCGCACTTTACAGAAAGCTCTAACTTTATAACGTCTCTCGACCACCCAGCCGACGCTTGTACCGGATTTGTGACATATAGAATTTTTCATCTAGGCCAGTCGACCCTAAGGACGAGTGCTTCTGATTCTCTCTTCTCTTCGCGTTCGCGCCGTTCGTCGTATAATCCTTATGGTCGCAGCATTGCCTATCGAAGATTAACATTATTGACACGGCTCCACAGGTGTGTCTGGATTGTCCAATCATCTTCTGCTATTATCCCAGCAGAAGATCTGCAAGATCAGTCTTCCGTTACACTTGCATCGTGAGGTAAGTTTTGCGAGATATCGGCTGCGTTCAGCGGAGAAAGTTGCTTTGCAATTGTTGTAACATTTGGGAATCTGATTGGACATGCTTTTAGATTGTGCTGAGTTTGAGAACATATCCCAGTTAGATTCACAAAGTTTACAACAGTTGTAAAGCAGCTTTCTTTGTTGAGTATAACCATTCCCATGATTTATTCCATATATACTTCCATATGCCCATTGTTTATTTCATATACATATACATTGCAGATTGCAAGATGATCTAGATATAATGAAGTTGGAAGCTCATCAAATTGAGAGTCAATACAGATGCACTTATGCAATAAGATAATAAAATGAAAAACACTGAATAATAATAAGTAACAATAGCTAATAATACTAAGAATAATTAATAATAATTACTGTATGATAATTACTGAGCAAGAGCATGATTCTCAATTTCGACGGTTTGGTGAGCCTCCAACTTCATTGTGACTAAACCATTCTGCAAGCCATTATACATAACAAGACATCTAATTCAAATATATTCTTTATCAGGCATAATGTCGCGAGATTATGAGAGCAGAAGAAGAGGCGGCAGTGGCAGTGGTAGCAGCTCCAGCAGATTGCGAATGGACACAAGCGTCTCGCAGCCCAGGCCACACGGTGAGAGCTCTAGCAAGCGTAAGGAGATTGACAGTGTAATGCGAAAGGCGCGTGAGTCACAATCGAGCTACTGGAACAAGAAGCTGCTGGAGGCGGAGGAGCGCGATCCGAATAGGTGGCGTCACAGCGGCTACAAGGAGCTCTACGTCGGCGGCGAGCCCAGCAGCAGAGGACACCCCAGGAGCCCGAGGAGCCCACGAGCGCCGCGCAGCCCGCACAGTCCGCGGCCGCGCAGTCCGCGCGCGCGAAGTCGATCGCCGCGGGAACGTTCTTCCCGCGAGCACAATCGAGCCAGACCGGCCGCACGTAGCCCGAGCACAGGCAGTACATGCTCCGACAGATCGTGCTCCGTCTGCTCACCGAAAGAACGACGGCGCGTCGCGCCGCCCTCACACTCGCGCTCGCGATCAGTCACACCTGTGCGTAGCAGACCGCATCCGAAAGAAGTACTGCCGTCCAGCTCGCGGGCTCTGCCGCCGCGTACTAGGCCGAGGTCACCGCCTCTACCGCGTCCGCGCACACCGCCGCCGGCGCCGCAGCCGCCGTCGTCGCGTCATCAAAAGGATTACAAGACTCTCAAGGAGAAGGAGGTCAAGGCTCGCCGTAAGGAGAAGCACCACAGCAGATTGCCGGAGGATCCGCGCGTCCCGGACCCCATCCCATTGGTAAAACGATCGTTTGTCCCTGCTAGTATCTTCAGCGTTATTTTGTTATTAATGTTAACAACCATGAAGATATTTAAAAGGTGATGAGCGTATTCTATAAGGAAGAATATAAATCTAGTGGTAGAGCAGTTGCTTCGAGTAATGAGCGAGTAGCGAGAATGTCACTGAGAAAGAGAAGAGAAAGAGTAGAGAAAGAGAGTTTTATCGTGATCAGTATTTATGGTAGGTCTGGTCGCGACGCACACGTGTCAGCAATTTAACTCCTTTCAAATTCTGTAGATGCGTAAACCTGTAAAAGTAGAAAAAACACACTCGTCTCACGGAGCACCGCAAATGATGCGACCACCACCGGACTCCTCGCCCAGCGATGACAGCGACAGTTCCTCAACCACATCGCATGTTGGTCCGCCGAGGATGACATTGTCCGAACGGTATTGCGCGAGACTGTACTTAATATAGTTGATCATGAGTCTTTTTCTCTAGAATGAATTCATGAAAAGTGAACATTTTCTGACATGTATGAAAGTGTTTACGAATTCACACTTGAAGAAAAGCTTCATTCCCTCTCTTTCATTTATTCAACAAGAGTTTCTTCTTTATATCTTACCAGGTTAAAGATATCAAAGAAGAAAACATTAACGGCTAAAGTTTCCCTACTGCGTCTTCTTTCTCTGCTAGGTTTTTTCGTTAGACAATAATTAAGTTAATAGAGACTCTGAAAGGCTTTAATTCGTTAGAAGTCAAGGTATACAAAGATGCAATAGGCCGTTTCTTGCTAGTAAAAATCTTCTACAATCTTTTGTGTAGCGTCCAGTTTACTCGTATAAATCTGCGATTTTCTCAGTATCGTTAACAAACTGAAATTTATCTTCTCTTTTCGTAGATTTGGTAAAATGGCACAGTGGAGTGTAGACCGTAGGGATATGGAGAACATGCGTATCACAAAGGACGGCGAGAACGCGATGAAGGTCGTCATAGAGGGTGAGGAGAGGATCGCGCGTTTGGGTTACGATTCGCCGCCACCCGGTCATTATCCCGAATCGCTTTTGGCCCAAGGACCGAGAGGTCTCGAATGTTGGGATGACGTGCGCGTGCGATACGACTACTACAAGGCCAGGGGATACCTTCGCGACCTCACTCTCGATGACTACATCAAATGGGAAGAATGGTGGTACAAGTATCAAGAATGGTTGGAAGCTGAACGTTTCTACGAACAGTGGGCCTCGTCGAATCGTCCGTCCGGCAGTAGTCGCAAGAGACGAGGACGACGTAACAACAATGCTCACTAATGGACACTAACGGACACGTAACGTGAAAATCGATGGCGAATTGTATTCGACTTGTCGACGATGTCATTTATAAAATGTACTGAGATATCTGTTGTGCTTATTATAAGGATACCGAAAATGTGTACACATTGCATTGCATACATCGTAATAAAAAAAAAATATGTTCCGCAGACAACTTGTTTTAATGATCTGTTAGACTATTTTATTTCAATGTATTTTGTAAGAATTTTTAACATGCATTTCCTTATTTCTGACGTTATTAAAAATAAATGGACGATACGAGTATCCAGGAGTCTTGCGATAACTACTCGCTGTTAGGTCAATAAGCTTGTATCGTATAAATGATGTCAGAGTATATGTGACATTTGGCACATGTATGTATATATATGAGGGACAGATAAATAGAGGGGCAAGGTCGAAAGTTATCGAGAAGATCATATATATACGTAACTTGACTCGACAGATAAAGCAAAGACAGTGCAGCGAACTACACGTATTCCAGAGAAAATTCAATAGCGAGTATAGAATTTGCTACTACACCATGTCAACAAGCAAGATTATACGAAAAACAATTTCAACTGCAAAGGCTCCGACACCAATTGGGCCGTACAGGTAAGTTTATGGCTCCAGTTCCTCCCTACCTGAATTGATCATGAAGTTATTTTTAAATTCTTATCAATTAATTTTGTTGAGTCAAATTTATCATCAAGTATAACTTGAAACATTCTAAACATATTTCTTTTTACAGTCAAGCAGTTTTAGTAGATCGCACTCTATACTTGTCTGGAATGCTCGGCGTAGATCCTAAAACACAAAAGCTCGTTGATGGAAATGCTGTAGCTCAAGCTAGACAAGCTCTTATTAATATAAAAAATATCTTGGAGGAAGCTGGATCCAGTCTCGAAAAAGGTTAACTCAATTATTACAAAATCCTATTTAATTTTGGCTACTTAATTATACTGATCGCTACAGGCTTAGATTGTTTGCTCTTTGTCTCAGTATTTCAGGATCATTTCTTTTAAACTGTGCCATATGTTATGCTTTCTGCAGTAAGAAATAAGATAAATATACTTGTTCAGAGAATGAAAAATGTCAAGCTATAACAAATTTTAGAAAGTAGAACCAAGAAGGAAAGATCTGCAATAAACAATAGAGCCATAATAAGCTCAATTAATATCCCTTGTCAAACTTTTCAATTTAATTTTTTATATTCTTATCCCTTACAGTTGTAAAGACCACTATCCTGTTAAATAATTTGGATGACTTTGGTGGAATAAATGAAGTTTACAAAGAATGTAAGCATTTAAAATATATCTTATGTGCATACATATATATGTGCATCTTGCAGTACATTTTTACTTAGATAATAATTTCATCTTGATAATAACTGTTGTGTTATTTATTTATAGTTTTCACTGCAAATTATCCAAGTAGATCCACCTACCAAGTTGCTAAGTTGCCTCTGGTATGATAGAAGTGTTATTAATAATTTACCAAAAATTAATCTTGCAAATAAGTACATGCATGCAAATTAGTGCACATTATTATAAAATAATTCTTATTTATTTGTTGTTACAGGGTGCACAATTGGAAATTGAAGCTATTGCTGTTACCGGTGAAGTTTCCAAAATGTGAAATAAGAATGTATATACTACAATATCCTTTTGTATGTTTTGTATCTAAAGAATAATATTCGCAATTATATCATAATTATCTTTTACAAAAAGAAGTCTCATAAAGCTAAGAAATAAATGTGAAAATAAAAGGCCATGTCATAAAAACAAATGGTTTAGTCTGTCCTTGGAGCTGTACTACTTGAAAATAAAAATCTGGCTGATCTGTCATTAAGTACCGTTTCTACTTTGGTTAACTTAATCGGTTCGTTTTTCCAACAAAATTGACCAATCGCATCTATTAATTCTGAGAAATGTGATTGGTCAATTCCGTTGGAATAACTAACCGGTTAAGTTTAACAAAGTTGGTAGAAACGGGCATAAGTCATACTACTCCATAGTTGTTTTGACTTCCAATCCCGGCACCCGACTCTGACTGACTGCTATACCGGTCACTACTCTACTGCTACTGAGCTTTTTGTGATCCCGCCTTTAGGAGGGGGTCTGAATGGTAGCGATGCCTTCCTTTTGGGAAAGAAAGGTTTCGTACCTGGAGTGTCTCAGGTAAAGGATTATTTGGACAAAAAATTATCACTGGCTGGCAGCCTGGTCGGTCGGACGTGACAAAGGCAATGGCTCATATTCTAATGGCTCCTGTACACAAGACGCGGTAATGCTTATCGCGCGACAGCATTACCGCGGCAGAAGTCCGCGCGACAGCCAATCAATATGTTGTTTTTCCGTAAGAACTAGAAGGTTATTACGGAAAGCAGCATATTGATTGGTTGTCGCGCGAACTTCCGCCGCGCGGCAAGCATTACCGCGTCCTATGTGCAGGAGCCATAAATCCTCTTTTATCGATAAAAGTACCTTGAATATAGCTTCTCAGCCAATCAAGTAACTCCTAAGCCTCTTTTAGAGGCACTTTTATAGATAAAAGAGGATTGAGAATATAGGTCAATATATTTGTCGCGTTGCTTGCACTTTTGACACTTTTACACTTACGCTTGTTGCATACCAGACGTAATGAGCGAAATCCAATGAGAGCTCTTCTTTTTAAAGAGAAATCCAGTGTACACGAGCGTTAAGGTTTAAGTGCCAAACGTGCAAGCAACGCAACAAACCATCAGTCCGTCGAAGGTCTCTCAAGAATCGTGAGAGTGAAAGTCGTGTGCTAACAGGATAAGCATCAATATTCTATTCCATTTTGAAATTCACGGTGTGTTCTCGTGAGAAAAATTTGAAAAAGAAATCGTCCACAGAAAATCAAACTGCAGATATGGTAAGAATAATGAAGGAGTCCACGAATATGTGGTAAACAAGAGAAACCTTTCGACTGAATTGAATTGAATTTTTCAGAGATTGAGGTTATGTTTAACATGAGATGAATGACTTTTCAGTTTCAGTTTGGTTTCAACATGTTCCCAGAGATTCCGCGGCCCTTCAACACGCAGTATAAGTGTTTCTCGGTGTCGATGTTACCCGGCACTTATCGCCAAGACGTAGAGCGTGGTGGCAAAAGTGAGAAAATTGTCAGTGATGTCAGTTGCTTCCTAATGAGAACACAAAGGGATATTTCTAATTTTATCTTCCAGTAATCATGCCGCCGTCTGCTCTGGAGCAACTCACCAGGCTCAATATCATTTACCCAATGTTATTTAAGTTGACCAACAAAAAAACAAACAGGATCACACACTGTGGTGTGCTAGAGTTTGTCGCTGATGAGGGCAAAGTTTATTTGCCTTATTGGGTTAGTAGGAGACCTTGAATTTCAACTTGAAATAGCAATTAAAATAAAAATAGCAACAATAAACAAGGATCATTATTACTTTAAGCAAATGACAATAAATAATGTTGCCTGAATTTTTTATAACTGCCTTAAACAACAACAAAAGTATTGCATTCTATAGTAAATTCCACATTCTAACATTGAAATGATAACACAACTCTTCAGTGGAGAAACAATTGTGTAATTTTGTTTGCATTTGAAAGTTCTTTCAAAAGTCAAGTGTTAAAAAACAATGTTTGATAAAACACTATAATCTTCATGATAATATAATAACTAATAGAAAAATATTTTATTGTAGATGATGCATAATCTTTTGCTGGATGAGGGTGAACTATTGAATGTGGAGAGTGTGTCGTTGCCAGTGGCGACGTTCTCGCGCTTCCAGCCGCAATCGGAAGATTTCCTAGACATCACGAATCCAAAGGCAGTACTAGAGAATGGACTGCGCAGCTTTGCTTGTTTAACTACGGGTGACGTAATTGCAATCAAATATAATCAAAAGATCTATGAAATGTGCGTGCTGGAGACGCGTCCTGGCCCGGCAGTTAGCATCATCGAGTGCGACATGAATGTAGAATTCGCTCCGCCGGTTGGCTACAAAGAACCCGAACGGCGTATAAAAAAAGACGAAGAGCAGATGGAGGATTTAGCGAATATGATGCCAGAACCGTCTGGCTTCGTGGCGTTTAAAGGCGAGGGCGTTAGATTAGATGGCAAAAAGCGCAAAGATTGGTCAAAGCAGGAAAAAGAAATCATGAAGCCGGTCTACGTTCGAGGAATACCTGATTATGATTATCAAATAGGCACGATCAGGTTCCTACGAAATATGAAGCCAGTGAATAACAAGGAGGTGAGTGTCTTGTGAGAACTAAGCGATGATATATGAAGAAATCGCTTCGGGTTTGGATAATAATTACTAAAATTCCCGAGTTTATGCTAGTCTAAAATTATAGTAATCTATATAATTGTGATAATATATAATCCAATTATAATATATTAAACTATATGATGTAATCCACTTTATAATAATTCATTCTGAGAGTATATATGATTGCAAATTATATATTGTTTGTGTTATTATAGACGAAGGATTCTGACGAATTCAAGGCCTTCACAGGCGAAGGATTCTCCCTGAGGAAGTCGAAAAAATAATAAGATAACGTGCAATCTTTTATTTATTTAAATTTATATGTAAGGTTACGAGCGCGTCCGGACTGAATGAGTGGTTTTTTGTAAGAAAGTGTTCTATGATGTGTTCCTAGTTTGTTATAAAAAATATGATAAAACGACAATCGACATTTTACACAGTCATTAACACTACCTAGATACAATTAATTGGTATCTTAATGAAATGACGCACGCTTTTTATATCTCTTATAACAAATTTTTTTTCAAACAAAAACATTGTCTTGCTTTTTGCTTAACAAAAAGACTTCAAACTTTTTATAATGTTTTGATTTTCAACATGCTCGAGCTCACCTTAAACTTTGTAAGTATTCATACATCTCTAGATTAAGATAATGCGACATATATTAAACGTTATATACCTACAAGATAAATTCTATATATATATAGACATAATATTTTGTACAATATATTCTATAGAATTCTGTTAAATTATTTGTGGTAGTTTTGGATATTATACTTTGATCTATTAATTCATTTTTAGATACATAATGAATACTTCTCAAGAAAACTTATTTTTGATACATAATATTGATATCACTTTATTTACAATAATTATGTGTTAAATGATTCATACTTAAATGATAATTATTTAATGCGACGCAAAGTGCACAAATCGTGCAAATTAAGCGTTCATATGCATAGTCGCACCTTTCCATTCCGGATATAATTTATAATTGAGATATCCTGAAAATTCCCTCCAATTGTTCTAACTCTTCTTATATTCAATTCTTTCCACCTTGACTTCGTCCCCAACCAGCTGATACACGTAAGTAACAACTGTTGAGCTTTGAATATCCATTAATACAAATGATGGAATGACAGATCTAAATAGAGGAAGTTAAATGTAATTTAATGTTTTTTTTTTTTTTTAATAAATACATGCATTTTTTTAAAACAATCTATACTTTTTCTTGAGGAGACTTACGTGTCCAGAGGATTGTAAGCTCCAGTAGCTGAGCCTGGATTAATGTAGAATTTATTTTCATGCTCATATGCCTCAAATTTATGTGTGTGTCCAGATATTAGAATATCAACATCCAATTGTCTCTGTATTAGTGCCAAGGATTCCGGATCACCCCACGGCACTACTTGATGCCCATGAGAAAGTCCTATTCTAAACTGGCCTACTGTAACCACTTTCTGTTCTGGATAATTCAAATTCTGCAACAAGAATAATATCCTATATATTACATACATTAATAATCCTATCAAAATTCTGTATATATTACATATATAAATAACATCTTAAATATGCATAATACCCTCTAATCAATTAAACAAATTTCTTATAGTTTTACTTAGTCTTAATAGGCAATCATATTCAATTACAATATTTTAGTTTTGTTTTAAATATTTCTCTATATAAAAACAGAATTGTTTGATATTTACAATTAAAAAATATCATTGGAACAATATATACCTCATCAAAATCTCCTCTAACTACATGTACATCACTGGCTAACGTCTTAAGATAATCATAAGATTCTTTCGTACAGAGATTGCCTGTACATAAAATATGTTGGATTCTGCCTGGTACTAATAGCTTCTTGAATTTGCTTGGCAGACTGCTACACCTGTGTGGAATATGTAGGTCACCTAGTACTAAAACAAGCTGAAAGAAAATTTTATTCTCAAATAATTCTTAAATCTTTTCTTCAAGTTACATGCGCACCTAATCTCAAAAATCTTACAAATCATATTAAGCAATTTATAATCTTTGAGATATATATCTTTCATGTAAAAATTATAACTTTATATGAGAAAAACTGACATTTCTGTAACTTGTCAAACTATTTGTAAGATGTTTCAATATCAGTAAAAGATTATAATAATTATTCTTCTAATATTATAAATTATATTTAAAAAATTCATAATACAAGATTTTACGATCTTAATAATAACATTATAAATATCCTAAAATATAATGTGAAATATTAAACAGCAATTGTCTCGTATATTAAAGGTTAGATTATCAACAGCACAGAAAAAGATTAATTTTGAACGTTGACAGATTGATGTTGCATTACTCACCATGATTTCTTTTAAAAAATCCTGATACACACACTAATATATCCCTCGATATATATATAAATTATATATATAAAGATTTGATATCAATTAATTACTATGTAAGGAAAAAGTGTATCTGACCCGTTGTTAAATCTATTACTACCTTATTGTTCTATCCTTACCTTGAATCTATCACTACTCGTACAGTCGATGTGTACGGTGGCGTCTCGTAGCGGAGACTTCGGAACTAAGAGTTGACAGAAATAACGGGTCTAAGGTATTATTAAACGGGGAGCACACACTCTTGCATAAAAGCATTATGCATAACGCATAAGAAAATTGATCAGAGTTCTTCATTTTCATCGTGGTATAGAAATGAGGATTTTGATTGGTTAATTATCTTATGCGTTGTGCATTATGCCTTTATGCAAGAGTGTGTGCTTCCCGCTTTAGACTCGTTATTTCTGTTGACTTTTAGTTCCGAAGTCTCCGCTACGAGCCGCCACTGTACACATCGACCGTACGAATAGTGATAGATTTAAGTGATAGAACAATTAAAGTAGTGATAGATTTAACAACGGATCAATAGTATCTTAGATCGTTATTTCTGTCGACTTTTATAGCATGTTCGACTGGCTCTGGGTTAAATCACTCTGGGTTATTCAGCTTACGTTTATTGGTCAAACAAGTACTTATAAGCTTTATGATTGGCTAGTCCCTTATAGAAATATCATACTAAGAATCATTGATAATTACTTATTTTCAGTATTAAAAATACTGGATAATAAGTAATTATCAATGATTTTTAGTATGATATTTCTATAAGGGGTAGAGACTTATGACGTCATTAATCGCTCTCGGAGCGATTAACTCGGAGTCGAACATGCTATTAGTCACTTTTAGAGCCTCTGCACAAGAACATCCGTAACATGTTACGTTACGTTAAGTACTGACAATACAATGGCCATACCTGTACGTAAAACTAAATTTAAGTCAAGGTACAAAGAAATCCGTAAACTTAACATGTTACGAATGTTCTTGTGCGGAGGCTTTTAGGCACTTTTCCCTTATATTGAAACATATATAGGATTCAACAGGCTATAATTTCTGCAAAAATAACGGTAGCGAAATAGTTCGAAAAATTTAAAGCTTTAAAGTTTCTACTTTTCAGGTATATTAAATTCGTAACGTTACTATTATTTATGGACATTAAGAATAATGATATGGTTTGAAAAGTTTAAAGCTTGAAGTCTCTAATATATATTGGAGAAACTTAAATATAAATAATATTCAGGAAAAAGAAATATATATAAATAAAGTTTAACAATCATTATTGTAATTTATTTAACGTTACTTTCCAAAGTGTACGATGTAGTTTGTTCGCGAAATATTGCCTATCTATAATAAAGTCTGCAATTATTATTAATAACTTATCAATGTGCAGTCGTATCTTCATTATAAAAAAGTTGAGTTGGTATGTGCAGTGCTCGCGCGCTCGTTAATAAAGTATAAAATAATTACAGACTGATGCGAAAAAGCGATCGAGTAAAATACTTTATAAAATATAAATAAGAATAGGTACAATTTTTTTTCAAATTCGACTGTGACGAAACAACCGTCTCGTCACGACGACCCGACCGAACATCCGTCGGGTCGTCTAACAGGCGCAAAGCGCCAAACAAATAACGGCACACACCGCCGCTAAATCGCGACGCCGCCGATTAATCTCCCGAATGGGGAAGCGCCGAGACAAAGCAACCACTAGTATAAAAGTGCGGCATGATAACGAATCGACACCAGTCCCGAGGCGGCCGTACACATGCCAATACGACCGCCGCTCCGACTTCCTTGTCGGCATCAGCCGACATCCTAGAAACACCGCTACGACCAGGAAGGTGCGCTCATCATCCTGGAAGTATCTCCTCCTGCCGAATCCGCTCTCGGAAAGGCAAGGGAACCAGAGGTGGCGCGCTCACCGCCTCGGTCAAGCGCTCTTGACCTCCCTGCCAAGCAGAGACCCGACCGCGAGGAAAGGTGCGCTCATCTGCTCTCAAGGCCAGCACCACTCCGCAAGGCAGCGCAGCGGACGAGGGACATAGAGGTGGCGAGCTCACCGTCTCTGCCCCGTGCTCAGGGCTCCCCGGCCGCTGCCTCCTCAAAGGCGCCTCCGCGCCACACCTAGCATAAGTCCGCGTTAGAATAAGACCGCGCCTAGTATAAGTTCGCGTTAAAATAAGTCTGCGTTAGAATAAGACCGCGCTTAGCAACATAAGCCAAGCTTAGCACGCGTCCGCGACCAGATACGACGCCGTGTAGTTATAAGACCGCGAATAGGTGGAAGCAACCGTTCCGATACGGCCACCATCCTGTATACATAATCACAATAAATTATTTTGTTATTCTTTGAACACACGGACACTCACTTCTCACACACCCACACACACCCACACGCACACTCGCGCTCCGGCCGAACTCTCGGACACCGGCGAGCTTATCCACCGTCGTCGGTGTCACGCACGCTCGCAAAGGAACGCCAAGGTCGTCCGACCGAACCGCGAGGCGAAGACGTGACACAAATTGACCGCCAGGCGAAGACGTGACACAAATCGACTTCTTCCTTCAACTTTCACAGTACTTTCTCAAGATCCGTTTGAGTATAAATTATAATCGATACAATACGTAGCGTAGAAAGAATAGATATAAACTTTACTATATACAAAGATGTCCATATATAATCGTAATCTTAAAATATATAATTCTCATCGTTGGAATAATACACATATTCCGAAGAAATACGCAGGCACTTTAACACGTACATTGCGACGTCTCCTATAATATATTAATAAGTTTAAAATTAGGCAATTATGCTCTTTCAAAATGTACATAAGAAATATTCTTACAGTATATCTTTCAATCGTTATAAAATTCTTAATTAATCGAAGGTGTCTTATCATTTATATTCTACATAAAACGTATTACTAACGCGTAAATAATACCTCAAAAAACACCAACTTCTATACAGTGGATAAGGTCACAATATTAAAAAATATTCATCGCAAATCCTAAAATTATTCTGGTAAGACATGATCTGAACGTAGCTCGCGTACAATACGCTCCTAAATTGTTTCAGAAGACACAATGAATTATTTTCAAGAATCATTCCTAACAACAATGATTGTAAGACTATCGTAGTAACAATTTAGAATTCCTTCCTGAATTGTGCAGAATAATTCCGAAACAAACAAATCTGCTATTTATACATATCTAACGGCACGATGTTAGATAACATTTAGTTCAGTCTTCCTTATCGCTATATTCGGCTCTTCGCAAAATACATATCTCGCCTCATATAGCACTTTGGAGGAAAATAAACTCTTCAATGCTCTCTTCAACTGTATACGAACATACATAGCTCGTTACAGTTGTGTGATACCGTAAAATGGACGGTCATACTTTGAAATACTTTATGGCAGGATATTAATTGCTATACGCGATTTATCGGTGAAATTCAATTGTGCCTCTGTCGGAACATTTATAATATAATCCATCAGTAGAAAGGAAATTATCTTTGGTTATATTGTTGGAGCATTGAATTTGGCTTGTTTCATTACTGGGCTGCGTTCTGACTATTTTTACCGCGATTACGCAGTAACGACGCATCCGAGAGCGAGTAAGTACCGGGCTCAAGTACCGGCGGGTACTCCAAGCCAGGGTAATCAGGCGGCGGAGACGTCGGCGGTGGTATGTATGGTAATGTTGGAGGTGCCAACGAGCTTCTGCCGCTATTAGAATAGCTCTTCTGACCGGATGAATATCCACTGCCGTACTGAAAAGAAAAAGAAAGAAACTCAATCGTTCTGTCAATGTTCCGATAAACTAACGATAGTTTTTATCTAAATTCAAATACGATTTGTGTTCAATACTTTTGGTATATTGGAAGGCGCATCCGGACTCCAGTCGCTAGTCGAACTAACTGAACTGACACTTTGACTGAGCGTCTGCGAAGGGCTATTTCCGCTGAAAGAGCTGTGAGACTGACTGATCCCACTGTCACCTGGACTCTGACTGCCGGAACGAGTGGATAATCGGTGCTGCGTCTGATTGGAGCATTTGTCACGAAACAGTGCTCTGTGTAACCTTGGTGAACCTGCTCGTGTAACGATAATTAAATTTCAAGTCACGTCTCGCGAAAGTATATCCCAAAATGTACTCAACGTTTTAATTGGAGATCACTTACCTAATATGGTTTTCTGGCTATCCTTGGGAAGATCTAATGTGCAAGGTTTTTGCTGTTTAGTCCCAAACAAGCTCTTCAGACGATTCGCCTTCTGCACCTGATCATTTTTGTCTAAGTGCATTTCAAACGCGGCTCTCATACCTTCCTGCTCGAAAGGCGACGTTGGTAAGGGTGGCGGCTGGTATTGCGCTACGTTCTTCAGACGATTCTTGTCACAGTTCGCGACCTTTTTATCGCAGTTCGCGGTCTTCTTGTCGCCACGTTTAAACGAGTCCAACCAGTGTTTATCAGAAGAGTTATACTCGTGACGATTGGTAAGATTGAAACTCCCTTTCCGACTAATTAACACGTCCTTTTTCACGCGCTGCAACGTCTCCGATGACGCGTGAGACGTAAGGTCACTGCTGGATCCGGAGTAACCTACGATGAGAAGGAAAAAATTCAAGACTAACCTTAAATCTCATCAACAATTAGTAAGCGTTACGATTTCATTGAAACGTTGAAATTTACCGTCGTTCCTAATAAGTCGCTTCGGTACCGCTTTGAAATCCTCCATCAAATTACCGACGTCCCTCGACGAAACATAATCGTGCGTCTTGTAGTTCTCATGATTGGAAGACTGCGAATGGATGTTATGCTCGTAGCCCCTGCTATGGAAGTCCTGTCTACTCGGATTCGTTGCGTTTCTCCAATACATCGTATCTCCGTTCTTGGTCTGCTGACTGCTCAGTTGTTCTTGGGCTTTTCTCTTTTGCGCGCAACTGGAGTCCCACGTTCTCTTGCTGTGCGCGATCGTCTTGCACTTGCCGCAGGATTTATCGTTCACGCAGTCCCCTTTGCTATCGGATCGGCTGGCGATAATATCCCCGGTGAGCTGACGCGACAAATGCGTGTTCGCGTGTCTCAAGTGGCCGTACACAGTGCTGTTGTTCTCGTCATTGATCCTGCCGTAAGTACCGCCGATGTCGTCGTTTGACGATGCATCGCTCAATTGTCTGGCTTGCTCGCAGTTACACGCCACGTTGTCGTTGAAATTCCTGTGCTGTATATGCACGTGATCGTTGGTTAAAGGTGTAACGCGCGGTGACATCGATCTGTTCACGCTAGATTGCCGGTAATCCTCTTCTTGTTGCAACAGCATGAATTCTTCTAGCGTGATGAAGCCTTGCAGATCGTCCGCTCTTCTGCCACGACCACAGACGGATCTGTATGCAAATTGCAAAGATACGGATGTTATTGTCGCGAAATAAGTATTTCTGCGAAAAATATACAACGCGAAACTTACCTATCCGTAGCACGCCGATAATCGCCCATGTCCTGATTGCTCAACGGGTTCGACATGTCCATAGCGCTTTGAGAGGCGCTCAATCCATAAAACGTACTGCCTGCGATGGTCATTTGTAGATCCGGGGAATTCGAGTTGGAATCTTCTTTCCTGCAGAACGTTCGATAACAACTTTAATAGCTCGTCGGAGTTAATAGCTAGTCAGAGACGCGATGAGATATTTATCTGATGTACTTACTTATTCGGCGTCGACGTGGGAAGGACTCTTCTGTAACTGCGAAACTGCGCCGTAGGTACAGGCATATTTTGATTTTTCGCGCCGAGGAATTTCAAGTACTTGCGATCCAAACTTGCACCGCCGATCTCATGATCCTTGAACACGATATCTTTCCGCGCGGCCTTTTTCAACGAGCCGAAAGACTTGTCCAGATTTTGCCTGGATTCCAGTGTGCTCTTTATCTTGCTCTTGTGAATCTCGCTGTCACTCTCGTCGGTCTCGCTGAATAGCCCGTTTTGACTGTGAGCGTCTGCGCCTAAAGTGCTCTTACTGATCGCGTCCACCCACAAAATCAAACAGTCCTCGGTATCGGCAGCAAAATAAAACACCGTTCCAGTGTGGTAGACCTTGAAGGCATATTTCCTCGACTTGACTTCGGCGGCCGGTGAGACGGTGAAGCCCGCTAACGAGATTAAACAGTCTGCTTTCGTACTGTCCTGCGTTTTAAACCTGTCGATAATATGCAGAACAGGTCACTTTACTTAATTACATTTGATATTTATTGCGACGTGTCTTAAGTGATCTCACCTGTACAACGACGAACATTTCAGCACAAACCAGGCTCGTGCCCACGCTCCGCCTGCTCCTCTGCTGCGGTACGTTAACAATCCTTCTATGTCACCAGTACCAACATCTTTCACAGATACATTTCTTCTCTCTAACAAGAAAATTGTGTATCTCTTGTAAATTGTGAGACAAAAAATATCGAACGTTCTCTCCATTTACAGACACATTACTTCTTTTTAACAAGAAAATTATGTATCTGTTCTACATCGTGAAACAAAAAATATCAAGAATTTATTCCAAGTATAACGTCACATATATTCTAAAAATGATTTTAAATAGAAGATAAATAACAAATGTAACTCTTGTTCACTTTGAAAAACTTTCAAAATCCGTCTGTGTATCCAGAAGAAAATTGTAACTTAATCATACTTACTAGTCAGTAATATATTCCGTTTTCTGTTACTTCTTGGACTGCTGTTAGACTTGCTCAAGCTACTATGTAAGCCGATACTTCTAGCCACCATCATAGCTCGATTCACGACGCTCTTCTCAAAACTCCTATCTTTCTCCGATAGCTTTGGTCTTAGATCCAAAGCCAACATTTGTTTCGAATTGATCACATCGGGACACTCGACATGACGCGAAGAATGTTCGTACTTGTAGCCGTCTGTTGCGGATTGACCGAAGCAAGTAAACTTTTCCACGAACGGCTCGTACTTCTCATATGTGTATCTATCCTCTTTCGACTGCCTATCATTGTTTTCACTGTACAACGAAGCTGAGTCGGACTGAGTGAACTTCTGATCGTTCAGACTTACTATTGCACGAGGCTCGTCGATAAAGTCAAACGAATTCTCCATATAATTGAACGCGCACACGTCGGGGGAGAAATCCTTCCTATCTTGACAATCTGAATTGCTTCTGGCGTGATTCTGGCGTGAAGGTAAATTCGAGTCCACCTTCTTCAGCTCTCGTCTCACGCTGGGTCTATCCGGGACCTGAGGCCTTTCCGAGTTCTCCGCAACTCTCGGAGCATTGTTCAGTTTCGCGTCGGCCATTTGCTTCGGATGAAAACTACGAGGTGGAGGTTCCGGCGGTGTCATGTGATGCTTGTTCTCGTATTTTCTTACAGACTCGATCTTCGGTAACTCTATGTAGCGGCAAGACTGCACCGTAGCCAAGGACGAGTCCGACGTGGATTTTATGTCTTTAGTCTGCGGTTTCGTGCTGATCTGAATTTTGGAGACACTGTGAATGGCGTTCGACAAATCGTCTTCGACAAGATTGGCGTTGCTGCTCGATGGTCGTGGTACTATCGTCTCAGTGCAATCCTCTCGCGATAATGTTGTGGAAGACTTCTTCTCAATCAGCCTCGAGTGCTGAGCTAAAACGCCATCGAGCATTTGTAAAACTTGACCAAACTTCTGCGACATCGTGTCTCCTTCTACACTGCTACTGCTGCATGACATCTCCGAGTGACGGCAGTTTTTCTCGCGACAATTAGACGGCGAGCTTTTCTTCGGGCAAATAGCTTCGGGCTGTTCATGCATAATCGCGCCCTCGCGTTCGGTGCTGGAGTCAATGACGTTGCCGTACTTGTCGCACGTGTTCGCATCTGATATATTACATTCGATATTGCTTTGGTTTCGCTCCTCTACGCTGGTTCTAGGACTCGCGTCGTTTATTGTAACGCGCGCAGGATTCTTACGCGAATCCGATTCCTTAGGCACTCCAAAGACACACGCTTGCTCCACCGCGCTCTCGATCTGCGCGATCTGCTTCTCTATGTCGCTGACCTTCCGCGCGACATTACCGCATCTCTTAGCGGCGTTACCGGCCTCTTTGTGATCCCTATTCTGCACGTTCTTTGATCTCCTATGATCGTCAGTACTTTCGACAAACGTGTGAGCATCAGTCTTCGTCAAAACACCACCTGGCGTACCGTTATTTGAACAATGAGCCGGTAAGTCTAATTTACAAAATGGATTCTCGAGAAGCGCTAATTTTCTATCCTCTTTATCCTCGGGATCCGACAGGTCGTATGCCGGTGTACTGTAGCTCTTGTCTAACTTACCACGTTCTTTCACATGTCGCACGCCGGTGATCTCTTTGTTCCCCGGTGAATTCTTATTACTAATACTACGCGTATCGTTAATAAAATTATTACATTCGTCCAAAGGCACGGTCGTATCATTTAAATTATTGCTATCGTTGACGTTGTCCATAGCGCGAGAGTGCTCCTTGTTCGTGTCTTTGTTCGCGATACTTATCCCGCCGTTTTCGCAGTTCACTGCGGGAGTAACTCTCTCTTTCGTATCGTACGTCATTTTCCTTGCGTTACTCGAGTAGACCACGCTCTCTGTGTCAACTGACTTCTCTTGAAATTGCACCTTTCTGTCGTCTATATGACCGTCAGTCTTTTTTCTCCTCTTCACTGGTTCTATACCTAAACATGTCTGCGGCCGTATGTTTGACGGTACATTGTCTAGACCGTGGGCGCAAGACGCCGCTTTGTCGCGTAACTGGAAGGACGTGCAGTGCTCTTGCTTCAACTCTTTCCAAAACTGCTCAATATCAATACCGTGTTTGGTCGTGGGACTGGCACCTGTTATCGTAGCTCGTCTTTGGACCAAGCTTCTCGGCTTAGTAGAATACAGACGGATAGGAAGAGGCGGTTCTACCTCGCTGTCCGAATCGCTACTATCCGTAGCCATTGTATCCAACATATTAACCGTATCTAAAATACTTGCCGGCTCCGGACTGGGATTCTTTGGTATGTGTCTACGTGAGATATAAAAAAAGTTTTTCGTTAAATATAAAGAAATAATTGTCTTAATATTAGAAATTCGGGTGCGATAATAAGTCTAAGTTAGACTAAAATTTACATGCTTTATATACGATTGTTATTAGACAAGAAAAGAATTAGATTAGCAGCAAGAGCGGCAACCAAAGTACGTAGAGAAAGGCAGCTTACCTAGGTAACGGCATTGTAAAGTCAGGTATTGTTAATAACTCTGGTCTAGGAGATGGAAGATTATGTTGCCATCGTGTTGTGTAGGAGGTTTTTTTGTTACTTGGAAGTCTATACGGCTTTATGTAAATCTGCCCATAAACTTTAGTATGCCTTGGCCTACGTTTTAAAGTCAAAAGGATTTCTGCCGGGCTCTCACGAAATAACTCAAGCAGGTTCTTTCTCTCCCAACCAACTACTGTTTGATAATTTACCTAGCAAATTTATATATATATGTATGTATTTAACAATCGAATGATTTACCGATATTTAATGTATTTTTAATTAAATCGTATTTTACCTGAACTATCTCATCTCCTTCTTCCATTTTGCCACACTGGTGTGCAGCAGATCCAAATTTGATTTCGGCTATCTGGTGTGCTCCATGAAAAGATGGCAAAATATAAAAACCCTGGAAAACAATATTTTGATGATTAAATAAATTATTGTATAACATTTTTTTATTATTGTACATCTAAATACAATATTGATGTGAAATTATATTAACTCATTAAAGACATTTTGATTGTGTTCTTGCTAAGTACATATTATCTAGGCAGGAAGTTACAATCACAATATTATGATTTGCTGAGTTGGGTCTTATCAGTGCCGGATGTAATGACTAAATCATATCAAAGTAAATACAAACTACTTAAAATACAAGCAATTGCATATTGTTATTTAAAAAATTGTACTCTACAATATTGTGGATAAAATTTACAATTCAGATTTGGAGATATAATTAATATATTAGTAGTTAAGAATTCAGTATATATTATCTAAGAACTCACCAAATCATCACCAGATTTCTTTTTTAATGTCGCTAGATCTAAACTAGCAGGCTGCAAAATCATAGGATCAGCAATGTCTTGTATAATATAATCTGCTAATTTTGCCAGTTGACCACAAGTTGTTCTAATTTCTTCAATTGGTTTCTCAGCAAATCTATCCCTTTGTGCACATGTAGCCATTTCTAAAGACAGTTTCATTAATTCAGCCTTCTTGTCATTATATTCTAATTGCCCACTGAATGGAGGACGATCTAGCCATCTCACTAGAGGTTTCACTGCCATCACAACTGATGCTACATCTGACAATGTTTGAGTGGTAACAGGCTTTGAATCAGTCTGACGTGATAATTCATTGTGCAAGCTGTATGCCTGACAAGACAGCCGCAGTGCCAGCAGCTGCAAATTTTCCCTGTCCAATTCATAGTGAAAATTCCTTAGAAACTCCACAGCCTCAAGTATAATCTCTTGATGTCCAAGTTTCAATACACCCAAGTGTTCTAAATCTTCTGGTCGCAGACTTAATAATTGTTGCCCATTGACACTATGATTCATAAAACTGTGCACATAGGGAAGTATGGCATTATCTAAACCTGCGACACAGAGAAATATTTAATTGTTAGTGTTAGAATTCCTGGAATATGAATCATATATAACAGTCATTATCCATGATGACACATTGCTTTAAAGTAAGATAATCAGAGAGGAAATATATTGTGTTATGAATAAATACTGATGCAATAAGAAATCTAACAAAAAGTACCCAATACAAAAATGAACTATATAATTTATATATGTATATATATACACAAATTACTAATTTTCTTGTATTATATAAATTATTTCTTTTCCTTTTCCTCCAAGTACAAAAATACTTGAGAAATAATACGTTAACATTATTGCACAATAATATACTAAACAAAATGATTCTCATTATGAATTGAAGTGTCAAAATGTCAATAGCTTCTAGACAATTAAGCCAATTAACCCACGGATCGACTTATGGCATTTAATAATTAATGATTCCCACGTACTTCAATTTATTGACATTATTGTTTAATACCGCTAACGAAATATCGTTAATAACAGAATTATAACGTTTAATTGATCGGTCTCGAATTCCATTGAGGATACAGACGGGAAATCATGTGGGAATTACGCAACCAGATCGAACGAGCAAACGAATGAATGAATGAATGAAGGCAGCCTTTTACACGCATTAATGAACTGACAGAAGCAGAGGGGTAGGGGAACGGGGCGAACTGAGGGCGAGTATGCGGAGAGCGAGAGAGAATGGATTTTCACAGGCGAAACTGAATGGAACCCCCGACATGTTTTTTCCGAGCGACGGAGTGATCGCTCAGTTTTTCCCACGCCCGCTCACAAACACACTATCAGCATCGATAAAACATTTTCGTCGCACCTTTCAGCCACTCGCACACCTGATCCGTTTTCCACTCCGCTACATTAACATACGCCATGGCTCGACCGTATATTGATTCTCGCACGAAACACGAAAGTTCTCACGACTCGTCCTCGATCGTTCCAATTTTCGCTCGCCCTGTCGATAAAATTTCACTCCAACGCCAGGCTCGAGCGCGCGCGTCGGTACGATGCGCGCGCACCATACGTTCACTGTCTGAAGTTAGGCATTTCGAAGCTTCGACAGCGTCATCTCTAGAAACCTGTTCGTTCTGCACCGTCTGCACTCTGTGTCGTTTTTCTCTGCTCCCTTCAAGTCCGATGCAAATCTATTTGCTCTTTGATTATACTTTCCGTGTGTTGGCTCGACTCTTTTCTCTTCTCTCTCTCTAAATTCTTCGATATATGCGTACAGTCGGTCATAGAGAAGTAACAACAATTTCTCTCTCGGTTCTCTTTCGGCCCAATCGAAAATCACGAGATCACCTCCCACGTATGGACGCAGCGTAACAGTCACGTCGGTGGGTGGATAAGCAGTTATCTTCATTTCTCTTATGGTAGTACTTCGAATAACCTGTCCTTGTCGGCGTAAGTTACGCACTGTGGAGCATGCACGGAACGTCGTGGTGCACCGTGGCTCTTCTCGCGTGAGTCAAAACGCGATAGATTGTGACAAGACCGAAAACAGCGGACGTGTGTCTCGTTCGACGATCCGTTGGTCCGTCCAGCGACTTTTATGCATGTACTGACCAGGAATCACCGCTGACCGTGGTCGCTCCGCTCTCGCACAGCATAAAGAGCTCTACGTTTGACGTATGAAAAGATGGTGACCGACCGATAGCGGGATTTAATGATAACGCAAATCCCCGAGTGTTTCCACTAATTTTCGCCGCCGATAGGATCGTTAATCGAGCGAGGATGGACGACAAATCGACACTGGGGATATCGTGAGCAGCAGAAGACGTCAATTTCGGTTCGTATCGCTTACAGCCGCGGACCTATCTTGTTCCTTTGGCCGGGACGTTCTGTGCACGACGAATCAACCAAGATCACCGAGTGACAGCGTTAACGACCGTGAGATCTGAGAGCTGCGATCTTCACGACGCCGTAATTCTCCGTACACGCTCGTGACAGCTCTCAGTCAACGAGGATTGACGATTTGTACACGTAACATTAGTCGCGGCTTTATTATCGTACACGGGTTGCAATTTTTACGTTCAAATGCCACTTGCCAACTTTTCCACCGTATATTCTCGATTATAATGAGCTTGTTACATTTTCAAGAATAGTTCTACCACATTATATATATTATATAATCCTAATTAATTACATTATCTTTCAAAATAACATGGAAATCTTTAGTTTGTTTTATTTTTTTTTTAAAGTAGTAATTTTATATGTTATAAAGTGTGCATGTTGATTATAATTAATTAATGCTCTCTTATTATTATATAAATATTAAGACTAATCTTGAAAAACTAACCTATTGATTATATTTGAAATATCTGCTGCGTTACAGATATCACAAGAAAGTAATTTGATGAAAGGATTATGAATCCTTTAAGATAGTTACTTTGAATTGTAGTAAATTCTGTACAATGTCCCATTGCGAGGAAGAAGTGGTATCACCTGGTTTTCACCAATTAAGTATTACAAGTGAGTACTATACTAAATTCTAAATATAATAAAATATACACTTTCAAGATATATATTATAAACATTTATTACAAATGAGCTTATTATAATAAAATTGATATAAGTTTTTATATATTAATATTTCATAAGAAATTGCAATGGATATAAGTTTTATATGTCTTACATATACTATTATATATATTCCTTTTTATCTTCCAAACACTCTTATCATACAATATCTTTAACCAAATGTTTTCTTATCTGTTCATACAAGATTGGTATCATTTATCAGTTTATTAGTTATCAATGAAGATAGATATGCTATATAACAAATGTGTAGCAATGATAAAGCAAGAAACAATAGTAGTTAATTTATTTTCTAGTCTGCAAATAATGATGATGTAATTAAAATTAATATATATACGTATGCGATTCTTCCACTCATATTGACAAAACAATTCAATTGTTTTAGTTGAAGCAGCAATACTACGAAGTTCAACTTTCCTAAAGCCTAATCCATACATAGAATTCTCAGTTGATGACAAAAGTCCTCGCAAAACAGAAGTGTCAAAGTCGACTTATCAACCAAAATGGAACGAAGAATTTACAATACTTGTCACGCCATATTCACAGTTGCACTTTCGACTGCTTGACCATAGTACATTTCGCAAAGACACATTAATAGGGGAGAAACGAATAAGCCTATTTCAAGTATTATCACATTATAATGGAAAATTAGAAAATTTAGAGTTGACATTCGATTTAATGAGTGAGAGCAAACACGACTCGCAGCTGTGTAAAGTCGGCGAATTGATTACGGTTTTTGATGGACTTAAGATAGATACTACTAATGAGACCTTACTAAATGTTAGTGAGCCATCCTGCCAAATACAATCTGATGGTAAGAAGGATTTTATTAGAATGCTACAAGCTACATAAATTTTCTAAATTTGATATTAGTATTTGACATAGAAATCCGCGACTGTCGAACAAAGCGGTTAAAGAAAAAAAAGAGAATATCAACTACTTGCTACTGATGAAATTCACATTATGCTAATTTTCCCTCTTACTACATGACAAACTTTATGTGATTCTTAGGTGCCACAAACAACGATACAATCAATAATCGAAGTATTCTCAATGGAGGAGTTCGCGCACGTATGAGATTGCACAGTTCAGAAAATCTTGCTCCATCTGTATGTCGTCCTTTCACGAATGTTCATCTCAGTCCCAATTACAACAGTGGCAACAGTCAGACGAATAGCAACAAAAATGTCGGATCTACATCCGCGACTAATGCAGATGGGACGTCGAGTAACGTCGGTAGCAGCAGCAGCAGCAGCAGTGGCAGCCTCTCCGCGAGCTCCTTGGCGAATGGACACGCGATCTCGATGGCGGACAAATCCATGGTGTCTCCGGGAATTCGCAGACGCACCTACGTCACAGACGTGCGAACTCTTGTAGATATGACTCGCAGAATGACTCTCAAAGATCAGCAGCCCACGTCGGTCAGTTACTCGCGTAACAGTTACGGCACGGAGCAATCCTCGATGCTCAAGTCAGATCCGCGCAGTGGGTCGCGGTCGGAGCAGTCTGCGATCATGACCGGAATGTGTACAGACGCTCGTGTGATATCCCGACAGGAACAGTCGGTGCTTTCTAACACCGCCGACGTTTCTGCCGCTCCTCACACCTCCGATCCGAACGTGTCGCCGCACGTGGACGCCGCACGCAGCGTCCTGCGAATAGAACAACCGATCGCTGGCGCCGGAGCCGTTTTTCCCGACAGTCGCGCGATGACACGGTCAGAGCAATCGAGCAGCGCTCTCATGACGGAGGACTTGCGCGTGATGAGGCAACAGCCCGAGCAAACCACGAGCATTCGTGTGAACGAGGATTTACGCACGATGAGACAACAACCGGAACAACAGTCCGCTACGAGCATACGCGTCACCGAGGATGTACGAGGGATGAGACAACAGAACGAACAGACCACGAGCATTCGCATAGGCGAGGATTTACGTATAATGAGACAACAGCAACAACAAGCGGAGCAATCGACGAGCGTTCACCTGCCGGACGACTTACGAATTTCTCGCACGGAACAGTCGTTGAACGCGCCACTTCTCGATCAACGTGGAGTATCGCGCACTAACCAGCAAAGTGCGACTATCTCCTTGACGACGGACGGACGTACGGCTTCTGGTCGCTCGGAACAGTCGGCGGTGGTCCCTTTAACAGACAATCGTGCAATTCCTATGGCGGAACATATGTCACCCGCTGCGCTGCCGGATATTCGGTCGGTGCCGCGAATTCCGCAGGCCGCAGGTTCGTTGTCGAGTCAGTCCGCCGCTATGCCCGTCGCCGGGCAATCTTCCGTCGCGCAGCCGGGAGTGCTGATCACTGAGGACGTCGCTCATTCGGAAGAACCTTTGCCGACGGGTTGGGAAATGAGATACGATGTATACGGGAGAAGGTAAGACGTACACTTTTATCAAGGTTGGTCATTTACGCGTAAATTATGATACTCTAGACCTACGTGTAGACAACGCAAACTATGTATGAGATGTCATCTACGTACAGAGTGAGTGATCTACGGATATCTTTTAAAGAAATATAGATTGCCCAAAAATTAATTAAGAGAAGTTGATATTTGTATTATTTAAGCTTTAGAATCCTGAAACTTTAGAATTCTCTGGTGAATTCTCTGACATTCTTACCTTCGTGATTAAATCTATTAATCTTACTACTACTATAATAAGTATTTTATGCAATTTGTTATATTTCTTAAATATTAGACTTGTGATTGATATCCAGAATAATTATTGCAGTTGTCTCATAATTTCATTAATTCTTTTGATATAACTTACAATATTCTACGTAACTTATATTGTCTACGTAAAAAAAGGCCGTATACATTGCGTCAATAATATGCAAATAATGTGTATAAATGTAATCTTGAAATCTACGGCATAATCCTGATTTTTATTTTAACTAGAAAAATCTCTATTAACACACGACTCTTGTTATAACATTTTTTTTTATATTAGATATTATGTTGATCATAATACTCGAAGTACATCGTGGGAGAGACCACAGCCTTTACCCGCTGGATGGGAGGTTCGTCGTGATCCGAGGGGTAGAATTTATTACGTCGATCATAACACAAGAAGTACCACCTGGCAAAGACCAAATACGGAAAGACTACAGCACTTCCAACATTGGCAAGGCGAAAGGCAGTACGTTGTTCAACAAGGAAACCAAAGGTTCCTCTATCCACGGGTGAGTAAGGTGAACCTAGCCTTTTGTAAAAATAATACGTTATTACTATTCAACAAGCCACAATATTAACGTAGCATTTATCCTAAAAATGTTGAAGAAATTTATCAATTCTTTGAATCTAAGGAAAGTCAAGCAAGTCCTGTAAGATTTTAACCAATGCCGATTATTGTATTATTGTAGGGTAATGGAAATCAGGCTGCTGCATCGGGTCCGTCGACGTCCATGGGTGATGACGACGATCCTTTGGGACCATTACCGGCTGGTTGGGAGAGACGAAAGCAGCCTGAAGGTAGAGTTTATTACGTGAATCACAAGAATCGAACTACGCAATGGGAGGATCCTCGTACACAAGGTCAAGAAACTGGTATAGAGGAGCCGCCATTACCGGATGGTTGGGAGATACGGTTGACGGAAGATGGAGTCCGGTATTTCGTGGATCATAACACTCGAACAACGACGTTCCAGGACCCAAGACCTGGTGCACCCAAAGGGTTTGTATCAAATGCGTCGCGTTAAATTGCACGTGTTGTCGCAAAAGTTGCGAGCATGATTATCCTTATATTTCTCTGTCGTGTAGTCCGAAAGGAGTGTATCGTGTCCCGAGGGCGTACGAAAGATCATTCCGATGGAAGTTGTCGCAGTTCCGCTTTTTGTGCCAGACTAACGCGCTGCCTAACCATATTAAGATTAGCGTTAGTCGGCAGACATTGTTTGAAGACTCCTATCATCAAATAATGAATGCGGAAGCTTTCGCGCTGAGACGGCGATTATATATAATATTTAAAGGAGAAGAAGGCCTGGATTACGGGGGTGTATCAAGGTATGGTTTATACAAGAAATTCGTTAGTAACGCGCAACTAACAAGTATCACGTGTTAAGAGGACTTTACTTTTCTAGGGAATGGTTTTTCTTGCTGAGTCACGAGGTTTTAAATCCAATGTACTGCCTATTCGAGTATGCTAACAAAAGCAACTATAGCTTGCAAATAAATCCAGCGTCGTATGTTAATCCTGATCACTTACAGTACTTCAAGTTTATCGGAAGGTTTATTGCGATGGTATATTTTTACTTCAACTTGTGTCTTGTTTTTTTCTTCTGTAGCGTCACGTGAGAACAACTGTGTATGTATGAAATACTCTTATCATTTCAGGCTCTTTATCACGGCCGATTTATTTACAGCGGTTTTACAATGCCGTTTTATAAACGTATGTTGAATAAGAAGTTAGTTATGAAAGATATAGAATCTATTGATCCAGAATTTTACAAGTCTCTCGTGTGGATAAAGGAGAATAACATTGATGAATGTGGCCTAGAATTGTACTATAGTGTGGATTTTGAGATTCTTGGTCAAGTAATACATCATGAATTGAAAGAAGGTGGCGACAAAGTTAGAGTAGGTGAAGACAATAAAGAAGAATACATCAGGTATATTTTTGATAGACAATTGTAATGTATGAAAAGGGAAATTTGCAGTTTTCCTGTATATTTGATACAAGATCATAAAGTCTTATCATTCGATAGGTTAATGACTGAATGGAGAATGACAAGAGGAATAGAAGAACAAACGAAGGCATTTTTGGAAGGATTCAATTCGGTCGTGCCCCTGGAATGGCTCAAATACTTCGACGAGCGTGAGCTCGAGCTGATGCTTTGTGGCATGCAGGAAATAGACGTTGAAGACTGGCAACGTAATACTATCTACAGACATTATACTCGTAACAGCAAGCAAATTTTGTGGTTCTGGCAGGTTTGTCGATGATAACGATATTAAATCTTATCGCAACGATATTCACGACGTGCGCGTTATCTTGCCTAACTGTGCACTATCTGTGTTCCAGTTCGTGACGCGAACAGATAGTGAGAAAAGAGCTCGATTGTTGCAGTTTGTAACTGGCACTTGTCGTGTACCTGTCGGAGGATTTGCTGAACTGATGGGTAAGTTATTCAAATTGATCAGATTACCATTTCCATGATATTTCCATTTTATCGGTTAGTAAAGAAGAGGTTGATAGGTGTGATTATCAACTTGATTATATGATTAATTTCATCAGTTCTACAAAACTCGAGTCATAGATTGATAATTATATACTTTACTGTGCCTTTGCCACATTATAGGAAGCAACGGCCCGCAAAGATTCTGTATAGAGAAGTTTGGAAAGGATACCTGGCTGCCGAGATCACATACATGTTTCAATAGATTAGATCTACCACCTTACAAAAGTTATGACCAATTAGTAGAGAAATTGAATTACGCGATTGAAGAAACAGAAGGCTTTGGCCAAGAGTAACTGTAAACATGCTAATTAATATGTGGTAGATACACTACATTTGTGTATAATTAGTGGATGATAAAAAGGAAAATTTAAAATGTAGCGCCACAAACTGATGATAAAAGAGTTCATGTTACATTTGAAATCTGTTGGGGGCAGCTATCATTAAGTGTAAAAGTTCCAAATAATTAAAAATGTTCATAGATACATTGCTCGAAAGAATTTGTATGAAGCGTCTTAAATTATATGCAAATAATGTAATAATCTGAATTATATAATACCAGTTTATTCCATTATATTTCATATCTTATTGACATTTTCGACTTAACTGTGGAAATTGTATAAAACGTTAATAAGACATGAAAAATTATATAATAAAATTTACAATAATATTATAAATATATTAAGAAGCTAAAATAGTTAAAGGATATGTACAATTTAATCCTTTCTATTGTAGTATTTGTTTCATACATGTATATCAACCAAAAAAAGAATTATTTTAATATCCCCAAATTAGTTTATCTTTTTTAAAAAGAAATGTAACAAGAATTATAATCATTAAATGCAACTTGTCTATATTCATTACCGGTCATAATTCTCTAAATGAAAACAACGGAAATTTGTTATTATGTAATATCTTTTATTATATTTTAATATATTTTAATGCCTAAATATACACACATATATACGTAGAGATTAAAAATTATTCTCTTTTTAATTAATTATGTGTATATATTGAATTTATATATAATTATAACACATAATATGTTATATAGGCAATCAACAATTTTATGTTTTATTCAAAGCAATTTAGAGGTGAAGTGTGTGTAACGCGACGGTACTTTTTGTCTTATAAAATATAGCAGGTATTTATAATTATATCTGTATGTGTTTCCAGATACACATTATAAATATCTGCTACATATAGAAACAGCCAGCCAATAAAAAAGAATTCCCAAATATATTTTATCATTTGATGTATCGGACGTTCGTAATTATATATTAAAGAATTATTGACACATTGCATGTTGCCTCACAGGTATGATAAAAAGTCAGTATGAATATATTACATCAAATATTTCCTAAAATATTTGTAACAATGAACACGAATTAGGAAAATCATGGAATTGTAATTATAAAATTGTGCATTTGTTTATGATTAATAATTTATGTATATAAAATATGTATGCATATGTACACACAATTATTTATGTGTATGATTATGCAGATAAATATGCATACTATATTGGATGCTGTTTTAACTACACGTAAAATATCTGGACTTGTTAAGATAATAAGTCCTTTAGTTGTGAAGAACGACTGGTAGTTAAGATTGATCATGGTGTTAGATTTATTTATGCATTATCGCAATAATGAATGAAATGGAAAAGTGATAGATACCACACTTGTTGAATTATTTATATTTAAATATTCTTACAGAGGGCTTTTATGAAAACAAAAAACGGAAACGGTGTTAGAAGTTTCTTGTATAAGATATATTCTTACAATATTCTTAGTACATTGCTATCGCAGTTGATAGCAGAACATAAAACAATATTGTGTTTGTATTATTTCATAATATTAACCTATACAAACTTTTATAGATAATTTTAACTCGTAATTAATTTTATGATAATATTCCATATATTCTGGTATTCACTGATTTATTCATGTGTTTCTAATATGCTATCTAGAATATGGTTATATATATAGTTGAAATTGGCATATTATATATTTTTGAGATTATATGCACACACAGAACATTATAAATTCTTACACATGAATTATTAATTCTGATGAATTATTAATTTTGATTATAAAAAAAACTGTAATTAACATTTTAGTATTTTATTTTAATGTAACAGAATTGCAAATTAAACAACAATTTAAAATCTTTAAATAGTTATAAGTTCGTACAAATATAATTTATGTCAGAATTAATACCTAATATTTGAGGTTCAATGTAAAAACAGGTTAAATTCTTAACAGTGATATCCCAACTTATCACTTCCAGCAATTTAATTTTACCTCAAAGTGAAATACAAATCGGTTTTGTAAATTTAAGAAAAATATATTCCTTTGCATATATAAATTGTAAGTTTTATTAAAGCATGTATGTATATAATGTGTACAGAATATAATCCAAATAAAGAAATAATGAAATAAAGAAAAATTTACAGTTAGAAATTAAAGAAGTACTTTATCTTTGGTTCAATCGGTTTATTAGGTATTCAGTACGGGAAGTATATATTACCGACTCGACACTAGAAACTAGACTATAATACTTTCACTTTATTTCATTGTTATAATTTCGGTTCAGGGCCAAAAAATTTATACCACGGGAAACTACCCAAATTTTGGCCATTTGTGTTATCTTTTATGGGATGTGTCCACTTTTTATTGAAATCTTTCAATTCATCTGTAATTTTAAAATAAATACGTACGTGTATAAAACAGTATGATTGCATTTATGTGTGCTATTTATCTAAGTTATCAGATTTAGTACAATTTCATATAAATACTTACTTTCATCCATGTTAATCAAATCTTCGGATTTCGTTTCAATGCCATTTTTATCGGTTTTTGTAGTGACCACATATTTTTGACCGCCAACTTCCCTTGTGACTATTGTTTCTTCATTACCTTCACTATCTCTGATTATTTGTTTCTGTTCTAAAGTTCCATCAGGTCTACGTACAAACTCTTTTTTCATAAATTTTCCAAAGGAAAAAGATTGAGGTTTAGGTGGATCTGTTGTTCTTCCATGTTCTTCGCGCCACATTCTTGAGAAATCTTCTGCTGTGATTCTACAAAATTTGTGTAAATTTGCAACATTGTTAATTAAATTAGCATACAAGTGAATTTATGAGATTCAATTTTGTAATTTAGTTTAGACTCTTGATGTCTTATTATAGTCTTATTAAAAAGTCTAAAGAAAAGTAAAGTTACATTATTTAGATACTTACTTTCCATCCAAGTCTGTATCTATTTTCTGATCAGGTGTTATAACAGGAAGATCAGGTCCATATTTCAGCATTTTGTCACGTAAAGTATTTGCTTTAAGTGTTTCTCTTTCTTCTACTGGTAACGCTCCTATGAATCCATCTTCTAGAAAAATCATTCAAGATAAATTATTAATAATCATCAATGTATTAAATAAAATTCTGTGTCTTGTCTGCACAAAAAGTTTTACATTAAGTAAATATATATCTGAGATACAATAAAAACCATTACCAAATCCAAACATAAAATTTTTTAATATATGATCCATCTGGGTTTCAAAGTAACGTGTTATCTCAATTGGGTCGCTAAAGACATGGAAGTGCATGCCTGTTCTGGGACGCCTAAAAAACAATAACAATTGAAGCTGTATAAATAAAAAATACTTCAATATAGGAATAGTTTGTTTACCTAAAGTCGTCCATGTCATCGTCATCTTCATCATGCTCCCAAATCGGATTTCGAAATTTGTCTCTACGCGGATAATGATCACCAAGCCTGAAATATAGTGTGAATTCGTTTACATTTTGTGTGTACTGTCACGTTCTTGACATTATTGCATATATCGTATCATGATAGTAATATTTCTACGTTTATTTGAGATATCCTAGAAAATCATTCTTGCTTTCTTCTAATATTCTGGAATACTCCAAATATGGCGTGATACACATTAATATTTCACGAATGAAAAACGCATGATGATTTTACCCGCTTGTGCCAGGCTCGCTGCGATGTTTCGCGCCGAATAAATTTCGGAAATAGTCGAAGATTGACATCTCTAAGGTCGAGACGCTACGGAGCGCGTAGTGTATTTTTCAACACACAAAATGACACGACGACATTGCATCACGCTTACATCGCGAACGTTCTGCTCGAATGTTAGGATTTTTCCCACCACCCGACTATCTCGACACATGCGCGATGGCGATTTGATTAGTCGCCGAACGTAGTGAAGTTCACAGCACGCACAGCTGACAATGAACGCTGCGATCACTCGCGCTTCTATCGTGCACAGCTGATTTAGTAGAGAATAACGAGTAAATTCAGATCAGACCTGTTTGCAAGTGAATTGACGAAAGTTATTTCTTCATTTTTCGCTTCGACTGTAAATAAATATTTATGTGGGTCGACAAAGCAGTTTTCTCGTACGACCCGGATTAAAAAAATCAGGTGGATGATGTCATGTTGTTTAAACGTCTGTAGGCGTTAAATCATGCAGCCACGATTTTGGCGTCATAAACGTTCCGTAAATCTGTTTACGCGCGTCTGTTGTCCGAATAAAACGTATTCGAGAAAATAGCTCAGACTGGATTATCATCGTTTGCGTATAACTTATCATTTTGAATCGATAATGTAAGTACCAGCCCATAACGATATTCTAACCCAAGATGTTTTACATTTGATGCATTTAGACAAAATTATTTTGTATGGAGCTTTTTAAACGATATATTTCTCTTGTGTAGAATTTGTATTTTCATTGTATCATATGTATTGCCTTTATGATGTACTTATAGTTGTTTTTTGCTTTGCAGACATTGAACTTAATATTCTATGGAATAATGAAAACTCATGTGTCTGCTTGGAAAACTTACTTCTTGAATAAGTAATATTGTTGTTACAAAACACAATGAATAATCTCTCTGGACAGTTCCGCAAGACAACATGGGATCCTATTCTTATAATCTCCCAGATAGTAGCTGTGCAGACCGTCATGTACTTTTGCCTTGGATTCTGGATCTGGATCATTGCGTCGATGCTAGGCTCGACAAAATCCTTGGACTATGCTTTCCAGTACAAGGAGATACACGTTCGTGACTTTGAAGGAAGATCAGTTATTGTAATTTTTGTTTTTAATGCACTTGTGGGTGCATTAGCATTATGGTGGCTAGTGCAAAGAACAAAACAGTGCATGGACTTTGCGTGTACTGCCCATTTGATTCATCTGATCTGTTGTTGGGTGTACAATGGAACCTTTCCAACGTCTTTCAGCTGGTGGTGTTTAAATATTGTGTCGTTAAGTATAATGTGTGTCTGTGGAGAATTTCTTTGTATGAGAACAGAACTGCAGGCAATACCATTAGGTATGAACAGTCAAAAGACAGCCTTATGAGATATGAATATGATTAACGTTAATTTCTGAAGTAAAAAAAGTATGAAACGTAAATAAAATTTTTCTCAATAAATGTTTTTTTACTTTATGTTAAAGTTCTTGCTAAAAATATATTGTTGAAGTTATTGTTTAATCCCTTACATATGTATGTTCAAGAACTACTTGTCATAGATAAGTACAAACTGGACATTCAATTCTCCAGATCTGAACTGCCCAATATAGTTTAAAACACATCTGATTTATATTAATTTACTGAATATTTTGAAATGCCTGTGTTTAATTTAATAAATATACATTTTATTCATAATTCTGATATTTTTTAAATCTGTGTTTATTATCATTTGGCATATGTGGACACAATCATTGCATCATGTTTTATTTAAGCCCATTTATTACAACAAATATTGCATCCTAAAATGTTTATAAATTAGTTAATATAACTATCCATATATAGTGGTGACCTAATGATGATCCTCTTTGTAGAAGCGTAAACCACAGTAACCACAAATATGATTGCCAGGTTTATCCTAAAAAACAAAATGAAATATAAATGTTTTAGTAAAATTTATATATTTTGTAGCACTGAGATGACCGCGAATAGAAATATTTCATATGTTCAATAATATAAATCTTACCAGGTTTATGTAAACTTTGGGATGTCCAAGTGGGCCACCACCACCATCACAAGCTACAATCCTATCTTTTTCAGGGGTTGGTGGCACTTCATCTATCAACTTGATAGCCCAATTCTCATTGACTTCTTTTGGTCTATTCAGAAATCTTACTAAACGATAATCATCTTTATCGAACACCTGATGAAGAAAAAATACGATCAAGATGATTAGTCTCTATAGAATATGTAGCCATTGAGAAGTTATTTTTTCTTATTAAAAGATCAACACATCACAAAGTATTAATCACAGGACATGTATACACGTTATTCAATCTAATTCCAATAATTGTAAAATGAGTGTAGTAAGATCCAGTTAAATATAGCAATTGCTCAAAATCAATAGAATAACGTATAGGTTAGTAACATCTCTTTTTTTTATATATAACAAAGATCATCTCTTACCTGACCTGTATGGGTGATTTTAGTATCACCCTCATCCACAGTTGCATACGTACGTTGTGTCAATGCACTTATCGTAGGTACATTTGCTTTGTACAATTTAGTAAGAGGAACACATAATCCTTTAACCTTCGTAGTCGCCATGTTTGACGATTGTTGTTATAAATTATCAGCTGAGCGATTGTGTGCTAGATGAACGTGCTACTTGTCGCGAGATGTCGCGACAACCTCCAAATTAGTCGATAAAACCGAAATTTGAGTTGAATATTTAAAATTGTAATGTTTACATGTGGTCTGTTCTTTCCAGCTACACACTGCTGAACTGGTGCAATAAGTTAGAGTGAGAAAACATATATGTGTCTTTAACTTATTGCACCAGTTCAGCAGTGCAGCTGAAAAGAACAGACCAATAATCTCACGTGTGTGAAGTGTGCAAAACGGTAAACTTTGCGATTGTTACCGTCGCGAATCGACAGAAATTACTCTCGCGCATCTACAGCCGAAGAGTCTGCGGAATTCATCAATATTATATCGATTTTTACATTACACACTTTTGACATGTTTTTCCAACCCTTTCACTCCTTCACAGTACAATTTTTCTAAATTGTCTTCTTATCACGTCTCGTTCCTGTTATGTTGCTTATTTCAACGCTTTGACAACTGTTAATTTAGCGCGATATTCACCACGTGTTAAGAAATAATGAAAAATATCTGCAAAATAGGAGCTCGATATAATTTAACCTATATTACTTTTTCTTCTAGATAGTTTCGTTGTCGTTATAATCCATTACACGATGACAAGAGAAATAAAAGGCGTCTGCAATCCTCGGAATGCGAGGGCGGATATGTAGGAGGGATGGCCAGGTATATAAAATTGATTGAATTCACTAATATTGATGTATTACAGGGACGTAGCTGGATAATAATTTTGAAGGTATGAGAATCTCTATGTTATTGTAACGTATGAATTTGCATGTTTCAAATCGTGTTGTTTTTTTAATTTATTATGCATGCAAATGTCGCATTTGTTTTCAGTTGCTCGCATCACATTTACATATTTAATAGTGTACACATGTATACAGGAGGAATACAGAGGTGAGGGAGAGAAAGAGGGATAGGGGCAGTATTTATGCTGTGTGTTGTGTGTATGTGGCAATAGATTAAATGCACAGTCACTAATTACGTCAGCTGAGAAGTTATCCTTTAGCCTTTATCCTTTTGTGCTTCTACCTATCCTTTCTACAATATACTAGTATGAATTTCACTTAATTAAATCACTGTTTCAACCATGTAATCTGTGTGCTATGTTCATTAGCATAAAATATCTTCTAATTGTTGCAGAAGATGACTAATAAAACAGCATAAGAAAAAGATCGGTATGATCGATTCCTTGAATTTAATAAGTCTGTACATAATTATAAATATTAATTTATATATTATATAAATTACGCGTATACCATCGTAGGCTAGGTCAGTTAATGATCGATAACCATCGTATGCTAGGTCAGTTAATGATCGATAACCTACATCTTAATCGCAAGCGTGCAGTTTTCTACTGGAGGAAACATTGTAATTGACACTTGTATCGCCATTGTAATAATTACAAGCACGCAATCATATTTCCGCGAGCTATATTACGTTATAGGTATCATAAAAAAAATTCTCTACATAATTCTCTCTCACGCAGGTTGTGTTAAGTTATATCAGGTTTTACGTTTATCACAAAGAATTGTAAAAAAAAATATATATAAGAATATCTGTTACAGGCCGTTGATTCGATCATCGAAGGTTCGCCTGATACGATTGTATTTTATTGTGTCTTGGAGGAAAAAGAAACATTCACGATCTCGACTTAAAAGAGCAATATATCGGATCATAAGAGAGACCTCGCGTGCTAATAATGACCTTTACTCCCTTTCGTGTACATGCGATGAAGAATGCGAGGTAAAAGAACAAGGAAACAAAGTAAAACTATCGCTGCTCACGTGCTGTGCGCACCGACTCGTGTGTTTCCACGTGCGAAAGATTTCGGAGAGCAACAGCGATAGGACGCGCGAGAGGACGATTTAGGACGCGATTACGCACGGAAATCTCAGTAAAGATATCGATTCGACCTATCAGTCTGGTGGGGTGGCCCGCCGTATTTCTCAGTGCCGGCTTTCGGCTCGCACGATCCTGAACCATAATCTAAACCATACTCTTTCCTTTTTCTATATCTAAATAAAAAAATATAATAGTAAATATTCGATATATCTCTAAACAATAAAACAAATTATCGGCGATTATTTTTGCACCAGCAAACTCAAAGCTTGATTAGCGAATTAACAAGGTCGTGACGAAAGATTTTCATAGCTTCTTGCGACGTTTGCGTATTGCCTGCTACAATATCAGGAGAATAATTAATTTTTCTTTCAACAGTACGAAGTATTTTTCTCGTAATGAAAACTCAAGCTATATTTAAACGTTCATGCGCGTAGGTGTGTATTTTCTGCCACTTCTTTCCACCCTTGTTAACCGACTGCTTTTGCGCACAGAGAGAGAAAGAGAGAAAAGGAGCCATCCGAAACACGTTCCTCGCTCTCATTCAAGGTCGCTCGATGATCCTTCTTCGCCAGCAGCTAACAAGACGAGCGGGCGCACGCGCATATGCGGACGCGGACTCTCTTCCTCGGGGGGTCAGTCTACAGGGCGAGAAAGTGATGCTACATTAGCCGTAGCGTACAGTCACGGGGTGGACATGATCTTATCGGGCCTGCAGACGAACTACCCCATGTCGGATGCGACGTCCTAGTGCTGGCGACTTGTTTTCGGGGAACTGTGGAGACATCCCCCCGCATCCGCATCCAGCGATGAGAAAATGATGTAACGCTCGCGCAAACGACAGGAGTGAGTGTACGTATTTGTAAGCTTGCTCTCTGCCGTATGTCAACCCGGATTCGTGTCACACCTAGAATAAACGCGCCTTCAGTCGCGCTATCAGTCGTCTTTTCTCCTTACCAGTGTTGTTGTACCGACATCGTTTGGATAAAACATGGATAAAGGATCTCTTAACGAGATCAGCGAGCAGGGGATCACGCTAATTGCCTGCTCGTTCTTTTTGCGAATGCGGTCTCACTCGAATTAAAGGTGAAGGAAGAAAGTTTGTCGGAGCAAACTTATTCGTAAGCGATGTTGGTGTAACCGATGCTCTCGGTCAAGTCGATCGACAGCTGTTAAACAAATGCGATGTTGACGCGATGATCGCGCGCTGGATCTCGATTTACATGAACGAGAGATCGGATTTGCTTCGAAACACCGTGTCTTCAGTTTTCACGTTTTGTAATCCAGGTCCATTATTAAGATGGATGTTCACGGTGCCGGAGTAGTCGCCGTTCTGGGCACGGTCGGAGCCGCTACCGGGGCAATCTCGGCGGTGATCGTCTACACCATTTGTGCGCGCCGTCGCCGATTGCCGCTGCTTACTACAGGACCGCTCAACTGGTGTGTATTTTCTCTATGAGTTTTCTCTCTATGAAGATATGATTTTAAACAAGATTACTAATCACGAGAATTGTAATATAATGTACTATACGTTTTTTTCAGGTTTGAAAGAGATTTGCTAGACAGAGCTGAAGAGGCAGCGAGGTCGTCGAAAGATGTTTTGGTCGGTCTGGGCAGTGGCGTCGCGCTTTCACGCGATAACAAGATCTCCAGACGTAGCAACAGTCAGTCGGATGACGACGAATGGCAGTCGGATCATGTGTTTGACAGCATCGCCAGTGATTCTCCCAGAAGAGGTAATGTGCATGCATATTTTAGAAATTTCATCACAAATAATCTGCGCGAATCCTGTCAATGTATTTTTTTTCCTTTTTCAGTTAGACAGCATCTCTCGGAGTCAGACGACATTCCGCCGTCTCCGATGAGTCCACTCGCTCCGCCGCTTCCGGAGGGGGCGGTGGTCGCGTCTGAAAAGCGTATGGTGATCGTTAGGCCGCCGACGCGAAGTATAGACGGCTCTCATTCCAGATTGAATAGTGTCGAAATCGAGTCGGCGCCACGGCACAAGGTAACGTCGTATGGTTTCATTTCACTGCACTGCGAGCGATATTCGCGACCAGATGATTCCGTCGATTATATCACGTGCTTTCGTGGCCTTCATCGTAGCTTTCATCTTCTTCCTCGACCTCATCGTCCGACGAAGTTAGGGGTGAGTTGAAATTGGGATTGATTTATGACGAAAACGCCGGAATACTCACCGTCAGGCTTATTGAGGTAATCCATAATTTTTCACGTCGCGTATCGCGCATACTTTTCAGATTAATGTAACCCTTCCTTATTTCAAAGGCGCACGATCTTCGTGCCCGTGAATTGAGCGGCATCGCGGATCCCTATGCCAAGATACGTTTGCTGCCTGATCGCAGCAACGTGTGGCAAACTACGATACACAGGCGCACGTTGAACCCTGGTGAATATCTTCCCATTATTTACTTGCAACTTGTGAACAAGAGCATTAAGATTTATTATTGCGTTCTCATCCAATTACTCTCACTCACTATAGTATTCGATGAGGACTTCGTCTTCGAAGTAACGCCTGAGTCATCGTTGGCTGGCAGAACGTTGGAGATCCTGCTTTACGATTTTGATGCGTTCACGAGACATCGTGGTTTGGGTTACGTGCAACTTCCTTTATCCTCCGTACCGAATTTAGACATGAATCTCGTTACTATCACGAAGCCGGTTCTACGATACGGAACGGAAGGTGGATTTAAAGCGCCACCATTGGGAGAGCTGATGGTTTCTATCTCCTACCATCCGTCTATAGAGAAACTGACGATCATCGTCGTCAGGGCGAGAAATCTACCTGTTCTCGACGATCCCGCAAATGCGAATCCGTACGTGAAGGTATGTATACTTGGATATACGATTCTTTTTGGTTCAATGCTAATTGCTCCATTATTCGTCTTAACTTCGTTATTCAGGTATCGCTCATCCAGGACGGTAAGAGTCTGAAGAAGAAGAAATCGGGCATGCAGCGCGAAGCCACTAGTCCTGTGTGGAACGACATCCTCAGCTTCGATATCAGTAGCGACGTTTTGTCGAAGTGCATCTTACAGTTCTCTGTTTTGCGATCCAACGGCGATCTTTTGGCCAAATGCGAAGTATCCGCTTCGTGCCAGAGAGAATTGTTTCATCGTGTGTTGTCCGGCAAAGGCGCTTCGGCGCAATGGTTACCGTTGTCGGAGCCGGAAGCGCAACGTGTTGATAATGGCGAGTCGAAAGATTAAAGAAGAAAGCATTTCTGTTATAAAATATTAAGTATAAATATATAGAAACGCGTTTTGATAAACGCAAAATATCGCTGGTGATATGGTGACCGCTTTGTTGAATGAAATGTCCGTTGTTTCGGAAAGAGAAAGAGGAGAAAGAGCGCGGTAGAAAAAGAATATTTAATCTCAAGAACTCGCGGTCTCTTCGACTTTTTTCCGTCTAATTAGGTAAACATGTAACGGGTTTCTGTTGAACTGCCTGAGATTATACATCTTCCTCAATGAAAGCGAGAAATCGAATCGCTCTGTAACTTTTTGTGGTATTATCACTTTATCGTGATCTCTCAATCTTCTAAGTTGTGAACTTCCATAATATAATTGTGCATATTTTCAGAATACACGCTCTTTGCGTTGATACGCGCATTCTGTAAAAGACAGTGCACATTTCGATGTTTGAAATGTGGCTTCCGAGTGTATTTAATGAGTATTTTTACAAACGCACAACGTGTTATTAACGAGTCGCAGAGTCTGCCAAGTGCGTTTCGACGAGATTTCCAACAGAGCTGTGCAATCGCCAGATATCTATTTTAAGCTTGCTTACGCCGAAAGTCTCATACGCATTATATTTACCGTGGATTACGTTAATTCACAATCTTGCGTACCGTCGATCACTGAATTAATTCTCGTGTATCAAACGACGCTCAGCATATTTCATAACATTTATCAACGATTGTATATATTATTTTGTTATCGCGTTTTACAAAAAGAGATATAATAGGATTCGATGTGCAGTGGATAAAAATGATATTTGCACATATTATGATGTTTTGGGATGATCTCGTACAAAAAAAGAAAAATATTCCAAGTTTGTGTGCAACTAAAAACAACATATTCTGATAAAAGCTTTTGCAATAATATTTCCCTCTTTTGGTGAATATTGATTCTAAGAAAGAACAAAGTGTGCAAATACTCATCTTTAGCTGCTGTACATCAACAGATTTTTTATGTATATCGCAACTTATAACGACTATTTCCGTTCCATATACACCAACTGATTAACGACAATGACGACGAAACAACGGGATATCAATATTCGGTCGTTTTACTTACTACACGACATGAGATCGTAATACAATCGTATCCGATTGATTCTATTTATCGTCGCGACGCATACGAAATTGCTCGCGCTTTGTTACGTGGGTTAGATAAATAGAAAATTAGATGAGAAATCCGTCAATGAAAGCTGGTTCTTTCGACGAAATAATCGATATTAAAACATCGCGTAAAGCGCGATCGATTGAACTTATATCGTGATGTATTGCCGAACGGCGCACAAGTCATCGAGAACAAAAAATATAGATACAACGGCTAGCATCGTGATCCTACTTCATTGATAGTATACACATTACGAAAACATAGAACTCGAATGTGTACATGTGTGTATAATTGCAAAACAGAGATAGAAAATTATATATTTTCATTCCATATAGAGTTCACCGTGCGTCGTCTACGCACGCATTCCATTGATATACTTATATATATTAATATACTATACACACGCACGCACACACACACACACACACACACATATACACACAAAATGTGCAAAAACAAAAAAAGAAAAACAGAGAAAAGTATATCCTCATTGTTGTGAGATCGCTTTTCTATGGTGGTAAAGAAAGTATATATACCTTTGTCAAAATGTTTTATTTATTGTACAATATAACTGTACATACAAAAGGAATGGACCAACGTAGCGCGATCCTTGAGCTTAATCGAATAGACCTGTAACCGAAAATAGAGTGCAATGTGATTAGAACAGAATCAATTACATTTGTTGAGTAGGAAACAATGTTTTACTGTATTCTCATTTTGCTATGATGTCGTCACATGTGTATTCCGTAGCTAATACATGCTAAATTAATCATTGAATATTCTTTATAATGTCTATACTTTGGTTATCTTTATGAGATTAAATATTATAATTTTGATGTAACTTACCAAAGCCCATGTCGTCATCTGATTCTTCCTCAGGTTCTTCCTTCTTTTTCTCTTCTTTAGCCGGTGCAGCTTCTGTGCTGGCGGGTGCTGCAGCAACCGGAGCTGTAAAAGAAGATACAAGTATTACTTTTCACATAAAATAATTAACAAGAGAACAAGTCTTCTGGTATAAAATCTCTTGAAAAGCAATTTATATTGCAACTATAATCATATTAAAAATGTTTTTAATGTTGTTAACAGAACCTAGGTTATATCTTCAGTGATAAAACCAAAGTAAGCTACTGTTTCCATTTTCTATCTCCTCTATTGCTGACCGCACTAGTAACTTGAATTTTCTAGAACGGTGGATGAAGAGGACAAAGTTGGAAATAATTTTATATATACATACTTATATACTATACTTTGCAAATAGATTATAAATCATATTATACTAAAATTAAGTTATAATGCCAGTTGCCTTTTAATAAAAGAATATACATACCACCAGCTCCTGCAGGTGCAGCCCCAACGCCAGATCCAATGTTGGTGATCAGTTCTTTAACGTTCACACCTTCCAGGGCTTTGGCAAAAAGCCCAGGCCAATAAGATTCAACGTTAACATTTGCCGCTTTCAGAATTGTTTGAATTTTTTCTCCCTGTAGGACAAAAATGTGAACAATTCGAATAACCTACAAAACTATAGTAAGAATATTGAACTATTGTTGTTTAAAATATATTGGAAACTGCTCATTATCTTCATTTTACATTATTTATAATTCTATGAGATCCACTTGAATAACTTGTAAACACATATATGATTCTTCATTTTAATAAATTATTTACCAAAAAGTGGGCAACGTGGAAGATAACGCGGCATAACCTCAATAACGTGTACTTACGGTTACAGCGATATCGTCGTCGACGAGGATCAACGCGGAATAAACGCAAGCGAGCTCGGTCTCTGTGGTCATTTTGAATGTTTAAATTTTATCACTTCAGGTCGGATTATTCTTAATAATTAGTGCAAGTCGTCGATACGACCTTAGCTCCACGAGAGAGAACAAGCACAGTGTTCACACGGCCGGAAAGAAAGAGCGATCTCTCGCGACGGAAATTACGTCTTTTTAAATGGTGACGTTTCCGGCTCTCCAGTCAACGAAAATTGCGGAAAGTATAATGTATCATATCAGACATTTTCTATTTTTTACCATTAGATAACTTCCCAGGTAGTATAAACTCTTAAGATGTCTTAAAAATATTTTCAAGATTTTTAGAAGATGTCTTTAAAATGTCTTTTGAAAGTTTATGCTATTTAGGTTAGAATTAAAACAAAACTTAAAGTTTTCTCTTTCTCTCAATCCACAAAAGACCTCTACATTTTTTATTATAGAAATATTCATCGTAAATTGATATGAATAGCAAAAGAAAAGTTATAATGTACGAAGAACATTAATAAAAAATTGTTTTTATGTTGAAATAATAACTTTGGTATGTTTTATTTTAGGCAAATATACATTAATTGTATGTATATTATACACAATATATATATACGTTTTTTTATTTAGTTGATAAATATTTATATATTATATATGTATAGTTTATAAATATATATCGCGTACCTACGCATAATCGAAAGAGAAGCACAATTAATGGCATTCTGTATCAAATACAAATATATTGATCCAACTTGATTTACAGGAAACAAAATTTAATAACAGATAATTTGTCCACTAAACATGTCTTAAAGATCGTAAGGATAAGATAGCTATTAAAAATGTGTATTTTACATCGAGTTACGTGATACGCATTAGAAGTAATGATTAGATTCTATAATCTGCACACAACAAATATAATCGCGAGACTTAAATACATTTTTTTGCATCGTAACAAAAAATTAAGTAAATAGCATTCTGTACCATGTCTCGCGATTAAGGAATGCATTACGCAGAAATGCATCAATCATTCGACGCGAACGAAAAAACCAAAGAGCTCTTTCGTATACATGTGTCGAACATTATAAAAGTCATGAATGATTCTTTCAAAAAACATGGAATTCTTCAAAAGCCCAACAAGTATCGCTACGTGTTGTCGGTCGTCTTCGGCGTTATCAATGGAAAAGTCTGCGTATCGATGAGAAGCTCCTCGTCCTGGGCGCTCTGTTGTTTCTCTTCCGGCTCATATTCCTCGATATCTTCGTTGTCCGTTAGCGTTTGCGGCCCAGTGGATTTGTACTGGAACGCGGAGTGCGACAGATCGACCTCGACCGGGAACAGCGTCACGGCAGATAGCAGATCTCGTGTGCTGGCGTAATACTTGGCCAAACCCGCCGCGAACTTCTGCAATTGCCACACGACGTCCTGCACGTGCTTGTTGTCGAGCAACTCCAGCTTCACCAACACATCCGAGCGCAGTTTCGCGAATCTCGCGCGTGCCTCCTGTCGGCACCTGAGTACCAGGCGATACTCGTAGTTGCCCGTTTCCACGCGATACAGCGGCTCCTGCAGAGCCGCACAGCTCTGCTCTTCGTCGTCCAACTCCTTCACTTTCAGACAGTAAGACAGATATTCGAACTTTGCATCGGCGTACTTGCTGATGGTCAACCGCGTGTCCGGTATAGCCTTGTTGAGGTACGTCCCCAGATCGCTCAATATCGGCTTCAGAGTCTTCAACATCGCTACTCCGAACTTTTCCATTTGTCTGTGCTGTTCTCCGAATTGTCGGAAGGCCTCACTAGCGCGCGGCTGCGGTTCTCGCACTCCTATCGCGGCGAAGGCGTCTCCGAATACTGAAGAAAAGAGAAACGAGTAAGTTGATATGCAATTAAGATATACAGCTGTACAACTTAATAATACTCAAGAGGAACGTCCGTACCTTTGTAGATTTGAGTCAAGTCGAAGAAAGCGTGTAACGTAGCCTTGGCGTGCGCAACGAGACCTCTGTAGAAGTTTTCCGTACGTTTCAACGCCATTAATCTCTGAACGAGCGCGTCGTTGCAGAGAATGGCTCGTGACAGTCCGAGTGCGTCGGCCGTTGTACTGCCCATCCCTTCGACTAATCTATGCTTTACCTGTATGAATTCGAAAATTTAGTTACACAATTCTCATGAAATAAACTTATCTAGATGTGTAATAATAAGGTGACTAGATTTCCCAGCCAAAATCCGGAACACTTTATAAGTGTATCGAACAGATAAAAGATAAAAAAGTTGCTAAACATTATTTTTTTATATCTACAAAGTATCTAACGATAATATATATATAGAAAACAATATTTTATTCATAGATATATGAAAAGTAATTTAACAACTATGAAGACTTACTATATATAGTAAAATAGAAATTATTGCTAAGAGAAAACTCGTGTTATTCTTGCTTAAAATTAAGAAGAATCAAAGTTACTATATTTATTTTATTTACTGTACTAGAGCTGTTAATGTTCCTGAGAAGATCTTTCTCTGTCAAAAGTACTTAAAAAATCCTCTGAAACGAGATAAACCAGGATAGTTTGGCTGAAATAAATCGATGTCTCGAATAGCATTCGAAGAAATCCAAGACAAAGGATAAAAAACCGAAACTGCTCCGGATAAAAAAGAACGAGAGACGTCTGGTCACCTTAGTAATTAATGCGTGATTAATATATGTTTCTTGCCTTCTTGAGAGCGATGTCAAGAGTGCGTCCTTGTTTCGGATCAGCGTGTAGCTTGTTGTAGTTGATGCTGACTTGCGAATCGCAGGACTGTATCATCTTCGCGACCTCCACTTTTGTTTTGCCCCTCACTGACGCACCGTTCACCGCCACGAGCTCGTCTCCCGACTGAAGAGTGCCGTCCACTGCCACAGGTGTATTGTCGAAAATTTGTACGATATACAGACATGGACAGAGCGGCGCACCGCCGCCGATACTTATGCCAATGAGATTACTGGCATCCTTCTGTATCACGACGTTCCCAGACGTAATGGTCATGCCCCTGATATTCAAAATGAAAGGAATGAATCTTCAAACAAATACAAGTATGCAGGCAATTTTATGAATGACAAGGTGCATAAGAAAATGTTCTAGACATAAAAATTGAAGTATGCAGCGTAGCAAAAATAAAAATTCATAGGCAACACTTAAAAATTATTTCTGTACAACAGAGAGAAGTTATCAGAAATGATTCTTGCAATTATATTGTTTGTGGAAGCAATAAAATTAAATGAAATTTACATTAACATTGTAAAATTTACACAACATGAATCATTAAACAAAATCTATATTTTATAAAAGAAACAGAAAATTCATTAATACTACTTAAAATTGTATACAGATACTTACTTATTTGCATATCAGTAGCAAGCTACATGTGTAATTTCTCAAACTATGATCAAAATACTTTTAAATTGGGCATCTCTATTAATTTCTCGACATGTTCAATGTTATTTAGTTTAAGTTTTGTTTAAATTACAATGAGTTATAATTCTACAGTATAAATATGTTTCACAATAACAATGCTCAGAAATAAGAACTTACATCTGGTTGACTGGTCGCTGTTGTGTACATTGATCTTGCGCGACCAGCTCTATGTCTGGTCTGAGTCCCAATAAGATAAGCGACAATAGAGAAGAGAGGAATTGAAATTTGGCAGAGAGAGAGGTGTGTGTAAAGCCAAGAGCAGAAATGAATAGAAATCAATGTAACTGTGACGTAAGAGTGCGTACATGCGATCTTCCATCATAGCCAATTGGTGCAATTCGACGTTAGCCGATGGTACGGTGGTCAGAGCAACGGTGGCTCTATCATCCGAGGAGGTCGTTCCGCTCAAATTTCGAGGTATGCCACTGTTCGCGGATAAGGCTGAATCACCTCTCAAACTGTTCCACCGCACCGTGGCATTTCAGGCATGCATGTTACAACCGAAAGAAAGCACATTGAGACTGTGATGCAGCGTGACAGCGAATTATAGCTAATCGACACAATCAACATCCACAATCCTCCATAACCAACATTTTGTCCTCCTCGAAGAAGAAATCGTCCTCGAAATCCATGCCTAAGCCCGTCATATCCGCCGTCTACGAGGTTAGCACGTTCGTTAATTACTTTGGATTTTTCTCGTGCAACTTCTATGCGATTTTATTCAGAGTCAATGAAAAATACACTACGACAGATGAAAAATAACTCCGACAGATAATCCGGTTAATCCGATATTAATCTTGTCTAATAAATTATTTGTAAGTAGTATATTAGTGGAGAATAAAACAGATTTGATTCTACATTTAGAAAAGAACTAAGATCTAGATTTTTAAAAATAATCTGATATTGACAATAAAAAATAATTCGACGCGAGGTGTGTTTCTCTCATCTCCTGTCACTCGTAAACGGACAGGTGTCACTTCGTGCCATGGCTCATAGAAAAGAAACTCGGTGAAACATCAACGTCATCCAACATGATAGCTGCGATCTCGTTCACTGCTGCTTCAGGACCGACCAATTAGCGTGTTTCGTTCGCTTGAGATCGTGCCGTGATTGGCAATCAATGGGCGATCACGGGATGCACTTTTTATCGCAACGGCGCGTCATCTTGCAAGCTTCGCATACTTCCTGGCGGTGTCGCGTCGTCGCGGCGCGCCGCGCTGCGTCGCTCTCTCGGTTCCACGTTGACGAATTGACGACTACCCTGTTGACCTTCCACGTAGCACGCGGTGCTGCTAGTAATGGTGGCAACCGTCACGTTATGCCGGAGCGTCGCGCCGTAGGATCAGTATCGTAGTGAGTGGATGTGAGATCGAATTAACCGGCATTCCTAACTGAAAGGGTGGTCGGCGAGCAGCGTGACACAATGAAGAGGTTTAACGTTTTCCTATTCGTGGCCCTTTCGGCGTTCGCACTTGCGGCGAATGGAGGTAAATACGTGCATTTTGCGCTTCGTTCGTTGACGTATCTTGCACGGCAACTTGCCATTCTGTTCCGTTCGCGTGTTATTGCAAATATTCGATTACACGGCTGTTGAATTTCTTCCTTCTGGGAAAAATTAATCGATAAAGCGAAAGTCTCGAGCAGAACCCGATTCGCGCGGTTAGGCAGAGCTCTCCGGTGCTCCGAAGATTCACCAGCTGTCGTTATGTCGATTCTCAGATGTGTATTTAGAAAGATGATACGTGGGAGCTGTTGTCTGTAATACTTTTACTACATGCGGCAGGATAACAGATGCTCATATATATGTCGTGTCTGTTTTGACTAGGATATGGTGTTTATGCTCAAGAAGATGAGAATATTGATGATATCGTCGATGTGGAAGGTGAAGAAGGTAGTATAATAGCAGATGAAGAGACAGAGGAAGATACGAGCAATGCTTCGGCTGATGCTGATACGACAATACTTTTCACAAGACCCATTCACAATGCATTATCTACTCTTGGTACTTTCATTGCTTTTTTGGTTATTAAGACTCGAATTAGAGGTAATTATGTATGATATACTAAGATGTATTATGTATTTCACAGAATTACCAGCTGGAAATATAGTGGAATTTCTTGTTGGTTTCACCAACAAGGGTGAGGATGACTTTGTTTTGGAATCATTGGATGCTTCTTTTCGTTATGCAATGGATTTTAACTTTTATATTCAGAACTTCTCAACATTCACATTTAACAAGGTTGTGAAACCCAAGCATGAAGCCACCTTAGCTTATTCCTTTATACCAGCTGATAACTTTGCTGGAAGACCATTCGGTTTAAATGTTAATCTCAATTACAGAGATGCGGTAAGTGTAAAATTGTACTTATTATTCAAAAATATGCATTTAAGCCAAACAAATATGCATATGTATCAATGTTGCATTATATTTTTACAGAATGGAATTTCCTATAATGAAGCAGTTTTCAATGAAACTGTACAAATTATAGAGATAGACGATGGTCTTGATGGAGAAACTATCTTTCTCTATGTATTTCTCACAGCGTGTGTTATATTGACGCTTGTGGGAGGTCAGCAATTATTATCATCTCTGGGACGCAAGTCGCGCTCCTCTACTACCCGTAAAGCGCCTGTAGAAATGGGCACATCTAATCCTAACAATGTAGATTACGATTGGCTGCCAAAGGAAACTCTTAACAGAATTAGTAAGTAATAGATCAGAAGCCAATGAGCATCTGCTTATATCAACTAAAGTCTGAATCAGAATTACATGGTATTCCGCAAAACGCTCAGACTTTAAGAAAGTATAAAATAGATATATTTTTCCTGGTCTTCCATAAAATATTCCAATCTTATTTCAAACCCCACAATTAATGTTATATATTTTTTTATTAATCTGTTAACATGTTAAGAGAAACATTGCATAAACAAAAATGAAAGTTCTTAATCAATAATACTTTTTACAGATAAATCTAGAGGTATGGTACCTAGGTTTTCAAAGCAAAGTCCAGGACAAAGAAAAGCAAAAAGAACAGCTGGTTCTGATGACTGAACTATGTTAATATTTATGTATGTATATTATTTAAAAATGACACAAGAGAATCTGTATTGTGCGATCGCAATAATTTTTAAAAAACCATCTGGAAGTTCCACAATCTTGATGTTTTGATTCGTGTAAAATATTTTTCACATAATTATAATTAGTAATGAAAAATGAAAATTTTTAATATTTAAGGCAATAATGCAGGGAGAATCATATTGCTGATATATTTTCATCCCTATGATTTATACATATATATTCAATGTCTTAATAAAGACATGATAATATAGCGATACTCAACATTTTTTGTTTGCACAAAAATCTGCATATAGAGTCACATTGTACTTAGCGTAATGAATATTATTTTTTTTGTCCAGAATAAATCTTTCCATTTTTCTTTTCGTTTTCTACGTCATCTCGAACAACATGAATGCGTGCGTGCGTGCGTATTGTACGGAGGCGAAAATTGTGATTATTCTGTAATTATTTTACTAATATATGCGAGTATGTTCAAATAAAACAATTTTGTATAAACAACTCTACCAAACTTGACTGTTTCAAACTCGATGTTTTACAACAGATAGACGGAGATCACGTATCTTCACAGACATAGGGAAGGTAGGAAATACCGCTACTGGATTCTCAGAGCGTGACATGCAATACCGTTGTTTTTCCATGACATAACCTCTATGCGCATGTCGCACGTACACGCAATCTAGGAAGACGCTGTCGCAGACGTGTCGCACGTTTAGCGGTCTAATCAACACGTCATACTTCATAGTCGCTGCTGGTCACTTGCGAACAGTTAGCTGTTGATTCTGAAAGAGAACGGCGTTGGAGAATCGTGCAAAATGTCAGACGTGAGAGACTGGTTCGGCTCGTTGCCGATATTCACGAGATACTGGTTGTTGTGCACCGCCGTCTTGACGTTACTCGGCAGATTTGGTTTTCTCAGTCCGCATCTGCTCATACTGTGGCCCGATCGATTTTTAAACAATTTCGAGATTTGGAGGGCAGTAACAAGTGTTTTCTATTATCCTCTCAGCCCGGGTTCGGGCTTTCATTTCTTGGTCAATTGCTACTTCCTGTATAATTATTCGTTGAGGTTAGAGCGAGGAGAATACGATGGCAAACCCGCGGATTATTGTTTCCTTTTGTTGTTCAATTGGATATGTTGTGTCATCATCGGGCTTGTTGGCGACTTCTCCTTGCTCATGGATCCCATGGTGCTCAGTGTATTATATGTATGGTGTCAGTTGAATAAGGATGCTATCGTAAACTTCTGGTTTGGTATGTTGTATTTTTTTTTTATATTCCAATGCTTTCTTTATACGATAACTATACTAATTAATTAATAATAATTTCAATGTTGGCTTATGAAATGTTATTTAATATCACAGGTACACAATTTAAGGCTATGTATTTGCCCTGGGTCTTATTTGGATTCAACTTGATTATTTCTGGAGGTGGAATGATGGAGTTGTTTGGTATTCTGGTTGGACATCTGTATGTCTTTTTGAAATTTAAGTATCCTCAAGAACTTGGTGGGCCGGAATTACTGAATACTCCAAGGATACTTGAAAATTATTTCCCACCTCAAAGAAGTGGTGTTCGATCATTCGGAGCTCCACCAGTATATAGGCCAGCAAGGGAACAGAATGCTCAAGGAAGGAATATATTCGGAGGACACAATTGGGGAAGAGGTCAGGTGTTGGGTCAACAGTAATTAAGTAATTTTGCATAAAAGATAAATCATTATTATAACAAATTTATTATTCCATTATACATACTTTGTGCTCACGAGAGCAACATTTGTTTTTTTTTTTATGTCTATGTCACCAATTCTTCCAAGTATCTTTATAAACTTTTGCATATATAATTCCAATAATTGAAACAAAAATCCAGAATATGCAATTTGATTAGCAAAAAACGTGTGTATATTACAAATTTAAAAGACTAAAGATATTATGAAATATTGTAAAAACACTTGTAACAATGTTAGTGGTATATACATATTTTGGCGACAATGAACATTTTATCAGTTTAAAGCAGAGGACAAATTATTTAATGTTTTATGAGGCATTAGTTTCCATGGTTAATAACCAATCACAGATTGCACTTAGACACGCTCATCTCATAAAAGTTTGTATATATAATTTTCTGTACATTTTTTCATATATATAGTAATAAATGAAGATATGGGACTGAAATATAAGAAATTTATAAATTTTACAATGCGCGTGTTGAATAAATACAAAAAAATGTGAATATACCTAGTAAAAATCTGATATTAGGAACAAACTAAAATCAACTGTGTGTCTCTGGAATTTCTTGATAATTTATAAGACACCATAAATTCGCGATGTTCATACAACAATTTTTAACAACAGTTATAGTTAACACTATAATGTATACTTAAGAAATAAATAGATTATATAAAATAGTAAAAAAAGTACAATATTCAGTTATTTTCCAAAACTTTTTATTTTCTGCATCTTACAAAAGTCTGAAAAAATAGAAAACAGAGAATACTTAAAATATATAATCCTATTGTGCATACTATTATATGATTTTTTATTGAGGTTATCTCCTCAATGGCTAAATTAGCTTGCTAGCACATAACATCAATTAGTTAAGGCTAAGCAAGTGGATGGGATGCCAACCCCTACCAAAGGCCCATAATTAATACTTTTCACTGAGACTATCACAAATTGAAAAACTAATAAAACTGCTAATAAAAAATTTCACAAATATATATAATCAACTGCAAACTTGTTCAAATATTGTTTCTTTGTTGTATCAATGAGAAGAATTAATAATAGGCCTTATACCTACCAGCCATTATTCCTCAGGAACTTCTAGTTCTCCTGCATTAATGTCATCTATGAGGTCATGGGGTGGCCTGCCTTCTACGGTACACCCAACCGATTGGCATGTACCCAGGATCTCTTTGACAGTGCCGCTAAGTGTACGCGACATCGACCTTGACCTCATAGCACGTGCAATGGAGACTATGTCATCAAAAGTTAGATTACCACTGTGCTTGATATTTTTCTGTCTCTTGCGGTCCCTCGGTGGTTCTTTAAGAGCCTTAATGATGAGAGAAGCTGCAGATGGTACAACTGAGATTGTAGCCTGTCTGTTCTGGATAGTCAGTTGAACTGTGATTTTCAGACCCTTCCAGTCACTAGTGGCCTTGGCGATATCATCACCGACCTTTTTCGGCGACTGTAGAGAGGAGAATGAAAGTTTTTAGATAACAGTCCACACATAACCTATTCCAGACTAATCCTCGCATAAATGAAGTTTTTTTTTGAAACTTACTAAACCAAGAGGACCAATTTTTGGAGCAAGGGACGAGGTAGCTCCTACTTCACCACCAACGCATCGCAAATATACTGTATTCGAAAACAATAGTTTTAACATACGTATTTTAAGGTTATAAAGTTTTACAAAATCTAAGCGTGTTATAGAAGAAAATATAAAAAAATACCTTTCTTGATTTCATTCGGATCGAACTTAGGAGGCATTGTAATAGCTTTTGCAAAAAATTCTTATAGGAAAACGTGGATGTAAGTCGATTACGGAGCACACGTCCGAACACGATAAATCTTTCCTTAAAAAGAAACTGCTATAGAGAATGGAAACCAATACAATATCCAATAGCAGGCTCCTACTTTACGCATGCGCAGAAGAATTCCTATTGCGCAAAAATCTCCTGGAAACTCAGGGTGCAAATCCATGCAACGAAATAGCGGAGCGCGGAACGAGAGCGGAACCAATCATGAGCGGAAGCAATCACGAGTGAAAGCTGTGGAACGCTCATGATTGGTTCCACTCTCGTTTTGCGCTCCGCTATTCCGCTGCATGGGTTTGCACACTTAAAGTGTCTTTACATGGGAGCATCAAGCTTCGAGCGTTAAAGCGGTAGCCAATCAACGTGCTACTTTCCGCAAGAACTACAAGTTCTGGAACCTGATACGTTGATTGGCTAACGCTTTAACGTTCGACGTTGGGACGCTCCCATATATTGGCACCTTTATAGCAAAACTCCTCTACGCGCCATATAGTAGTATAAAGGGACGTCTACATTGGAAGTAAATAGCAAGAAGTAAGAATAAGAAATTGACCAACCACAGTCGAATGTGAGAAGAATAATTAACTATGATTGGTCAATTTCTTATTCTTACTTCCTACTTCTTACTGTTTACTTCCAATGTAGACGTCCCTTTAAGGGCCATGGCACACAGAAAAACTTAAGCAGTAAGACGTAAGCAGGTTACTCTTGGTCCAATAGACTGTTTGTCAAAAAACTTTTTTTTAATTTTTCGGGCTTATAATTAAACTTATTGATTTGTGCTTTTGGAACAATGTTTGGAACAACTAGAACAATCTATTGCGGTATCAGAATGTTCGATTTTCGAAAAGTGGGGTGCCAGCTCAAAAAATCATTTTTTTTTGTTTTATTCGAAAACCGTTTCGAATGAAGCAATATCACTTTGGAACAATGTGGTACAAAGTCAGAACAATCTGGAACAACTTTCAAAATTATAAATTTCAAAAAGTGGGGTGCCAACTTCATACACTCCAGCCCATGAAGTCTGTTTTCTATTGCTGAATCTAGTGTACACTTTCAGAACTTAAAAAAAGATAGATGTACAGATGTTATTTATTTACAGATATTATTTATTTTTATTTATTTTATCCACGTGTCGTGAGTACTCATGTAGCGTATCAAGTAATTTTGGAAAAACGGCATCAAGTAAAACGCAAGCGTGGCCATTCTATCTGATTTACAGAAAGCAATTTGAAAATTAATAAGGAAACGAAATGGATAATTATACGTGTTTATTTGTTTTTTATCTTTATTTTTCCTATAAAAGACTTTAGATTTAGATTTTTCTATAAAAAGGCAAATTTTCTTTCCATTGTAGATTTTGATCTCGAAGAGTTTGAGGCCAATGGGTTGGAGGTCTTAAAAAATGACTGAACCAATAGAGGATGTAAATCTCATAAAAAAAGAAATTAGTTCAGTAGATGAGATCATGAAAAAAAATTGTTATTACACTTGGTTTTGAAAAATTACGGTTTGTGTCTCCTTATAAATTGAACAAACGCCAACTTAAAACTTATACACGAGAGGCGAAAAGCTGGAACAGGTGCAAAATGGTTTAACATGCGCGCACCTTATGTAACACCAGAGGTTAAGCATGATCTTGAGGTGTTGCAAATGAGATTAGCACTAGATTCAAAGCATTTTTACAAGAAGAATGACAGGAAAGGATTGCCAAAACATTTCCACATTGGCAAAATTATGGATTCTCCAGTGGATCATTACTCCGCACGTCTCACAAAGAAGGAGCAGAAAAAAACAATTGTCAATGAGCTCATGACTAATGTAGAGTTTACAAAATATAATAAGTGCAGATACAAAGAGATTATTGAAGAAAAGAAGTCTCAGTATAAGGCACACAAATACACAGAGAAACTGAAAAGAAAAAAGAAGTAATCTATTATCATTGCATCACAGAACTTATTTTCTTCATTTGAGAAGTGTACTCTGGGGCTGTGTATATACATTTTGTTCGTAAATAAACTTTATATATGTATTATTTTGTATATATTAATGCTACTAGTTATTACAAAATTGAATATAAAATTATATTTATATTATAAAATTTATATTTATATTAATATATATTTATATATATTATATTTATATTAATTTATATTTATATTATAAAATTATCATTTTAAACAAAGTGGAATGTCAGAAGAAGATATTTCTTTATTGGAAAGTGTAGTAAATTGTATAGAATTGTCAAGAAATACTGGCAAATATTCAGAAGATGCTTCCTTATTAGACATTGTTGATTGCACAGGATTGTTAAGAAATACTGGCAAACGTTCAGAAGGCACTTCCTCATTAGGCATTGTAAATTGCACAGGACAATTAACAAACACTGGCAATTCTTGAGATGTTACTTCTTGGCAATATTGTTTTCTTATATTTGATGGCTCTTTTGGATCACCAAAAATTATAGGAACAGGTAATTGTTCTTCAGCTATTGAAACCACACTATGAGCTATATATTTGTCCATTGTCTCACAAGAATCTGCCATAGTGAATTTCATTAAATCCGACACAATTTCACTAGCAGCATCTGTAGATTTCTTACAAATTAAAGCATCATCAGTTGCTTCTGATGAATTTTTATTGGCAGCTTCTTGTAAGTCATCAAATTTCTTGTCATCATGATATATTTTATTAACCTCTAATTTGAAAGAGGATTCTAATACCAGCGAGTCATCAGATGTGTCTTTTGGAAGTATCTGTTCTTCTAATATTTTATGTATCATCGCATCGCTTGTATCAATAGAAGCAATTGGACCATATTCTGGCCTCTCTGGTCTCTCCTCTGTAATTAAAGAATAAAATTAGTTTGTCTTTACATATATTAAAGACTATTTTACTATCATGAATATTACGTAGTAATATATCGCATGCTATGTAGTCAGCAGCTCTGAATAATTCAGCTTTTATAAGAAGACCCAATAAAAGTTCCAATGTTGGCCTTTCTCTTCCCATAGTACTCCACTCATCTAAAAATATCTCTGCTGCATTACGGTTATGTTGATGTGCGGCTTGTTCAATCATCCTACAATGAAAATATTAATTATTACCATTATGTGATAATCATATATTATATATATATATATATATATATATATATATATATATATATTTAATATATTTAACATACTCGATATGCTCACTGCTGAATTTGGAAACATTTTCTTCTTTTGGCACAATAGCCATTAGTTTTTTCCAATTATCGGATACACTTAATATAGTTCCTAACTTATATAGTTCAACCGGTTTCAGTTTTCGTATTTCCATATTCAAACACGCACGAGACATTTTGCAAGTAGCAAGAATAAATAAACAAATGAACAAGAATAAATAAACAAATTTGTGCACTGAATGCTAAATACTAAAGAACTTCTAGTACAGAGAATCGCCAACTTGGTCACGTGTCCAGATTGGCTGGCATAAATATATACGGATTTAAAGGCCAAATCACACTAGCGATTGGTGATTGACGATTGACAATTAAAGATTAGATTTTAACGAATCAACAAGCTTCAGCCTTGGCTTGCTTTGTTCCAATTGGTCAAGTTCCAATCTTCAATCGTCAATCATCTATCGCCAATTGTTAATGTGATTTGGCCTTTAGATATTACGACGCCAATGCAGAACAAATGCTTATATTTATATACAGGGTTGGCAAAAAGTTCGGAAACGGTCAAATATCTCGAAAAGGATCAACTGTAGCGAAAAATATGTAAGTAGCAAAGTTGTAGTGCTTAATAAAATGTACCTAATGATGGCTAAAAATTTGACTTTGGGTGGAGAACGAAGGTCATACGAAAGTCAAATTGAATTTTTTTAAATTGGATCCCCCATTTTTTATTACATATTCTTGTAGCTTATTTCAAGGGCTTTCCAAAAACCTATAATAAAGTATTTTTTAGGCATATTTACTGAATAGATCAGCTACTTCTTGATATGATCTAATGCGATCTCCAGATCCTCGATAAATAAGCAGCATTATTCTTTCTTTTTCGGTCAACATTTTCGAAAAAGAAATTTGAAATTGTAATTGGAAAAAGAAAGAGAAAAGACAGAATGAGATACGAGAGAGCGCGACTCGTTTTTTAAAATACAAAGATCGAGAAGCGTTATCGTGAAGCGCGGGTATGCGCGAGTTTCGACTGAGTACGTGTGATATTACGTCGTGAATAAATAACCGCGTTCGATGAGAGCGAATGAACAACTAAGCCGGTTATATCGTCTAGCTCGAGACACGAAAGACAAAGTTATTCTTGTTTTTCTCTTGTGTTTATGTTTTTTAGGCTCCCAGCCTAGTTGTTCATTCGCTCGCATCGAATGCGGTTATTCATTCACGACGTAATATCACACGTACTCAGTCAAAACTCGCGCATACCCGCGCTTCACGATAACGCTTCTTGATCTTTGTATTTTAAAAACGAGTCGTGCTCTCTCGCA